GATGATATAAAAAATTTAGACATTTAAAAATTAATTAATGTGCTACGAAATAGGTTAGCCCTCTCATTTGTTTTATGTTTTATACATTGAACTAAATTTAATGTTTGTAGTCATCTTCTTTGTTTTATGTTTATATGTTAGAATTGAAAATTAGGGTTTGTAATCTTCTTTTGTGGTTTATTTTTTAAATGTTGAATTGAAATTAGTGTTTGTAGCTCTCTATTGTATTTTATTTGTTACATGTTGAATTGAAAATATGAAATTGAGGCTTGTAATCATCTCTTATGTTTTATTTTTTATGTATTGAATTGAAACTAGAATTTGTAATCCTGTATTTATTTTTCTATGTTGAAATAAAATTGGGGCTTGTAGTCCTCTTCTATACTTTTTTTTATATATATTTAATTGATATTTGAGTTTGTAGTCCTCTCTAGTATTTTATTTTTATACGTTGAATTGAAATTAGGACTTATATTCGTCTCATTTTCTTTATTTTTATTTGTAAAATTAGAATGGGGACTTGTAGTCCTCCATTATAATTAGACTAAATTATTTAAGATTTGGTAGTTTGAATAGTTTTATTGTAATAAGTTAAATACTTCATATACCTAGGTTTAGTTTATTAGAATAATTACAGTTTAAGTTAGTTTCGATTGTTTGTTAAAATTTAATGATGAATATTAATTTTATGATTGAACAAATTAATTTTTGAATTAGTTATGAAAATTTTTCTTAAAATTTAATATATGATTGAGCCCAATTTTGCAATTTAAGTTTTTTTTGTTGACTCATTTTGTTTATCGCTCATGTATATAAATTGTGACTTTATTTATTGTTTTATTAATAAAACTATATTTTTGTGAATATTTTAATTTTAATATTAATATAATTTAGATTGCCCCCACTGAAGAAGATGTCTCACTTACCCTACAAATATTTGTTATAATATGAAAAGTTTTTATATATTTAAGTAACAAACTTCGGTAGATATAAGTTTAAGTATCCTTGGATGAGAATACACTGCGATAATTATGACTATTCTTTGTGTTTTGTAACCTAAATAGTGAAAAAAAATAGAAATTGGGAAACAGGCAGCATAATTCATTGGGGTTTCGTAGGATATTCAATTCAGTATATGATATAGTCAGTAGCGTGCTGATGTGTATATATATATATATATTAGTTGGTGTACACATGCATTGCACGTGGATTATTTCAAATTATTATAATTTTTATTTACTATGTTTATAATAAAATATTACTTAATCAAATTATAGTTAAATGATCATACTAAAATTTCTAAGAATGCAATGCTCATGTGTGTTGTATATGAACTATTTTAAATTAGTGTAATAATTTATTTTTTTAGGCATTTTATAAACATCAAAACCTATATTTTATTGTAGATCCGTAAACAGATGACTCAATTGCATAGTGCAGGTCAAACTAAATATAAGTTATTGATTATCATGATACAAATTAAAGCAATCAAAGATAACAATTCATATGTATGACAAATAAATAATGATGCATAGATCTAAAATTCTTGAAAATTTTGGATGGATCCAGACTAATAGTTCAACTTGCAAATTGGTTGATGAAGGAGGAATCTCTTCTTTAAATTAAAAAACAGCACACATACATAACTTTGAGGAAATTATTTAAATCCCCTTCTTCAAATTATGTATCACAAAGTCCACAACTATATTGGTGAAAGTCGACCACAGTTAATTAAAATGTGCAACAAACATCTCCACTAAAAATGTTTGGTTGTAATTTATATTTATGATAATTATAACACCATTTTTTTATTGTTATTATTCTAAACAAACAATTTATTAGACTTTTTAACAGTAACTAAATTTTAACTATTCTTCTGGATGCTAATACACACGGTGTGTTTGTGCCTGACTTCTCCGTGAAAGTTCAATTTTACTGGTATCATCAAATCTGGGATAAATTCATAAAAAAAAATTATAATAGATATAAGTGGAAGAACAACACTACAAAAAATAGAGATATACTAAACATTGAGATGCAAAGAGAATTGAATATGTGGAGTAACCTATGCTAAGAGCAGCAGAGAAAGACAAGGAGAAAGATAAGACATCGAGAGTTTCTGGAAGAGGTAAAAAAAAATAGAAAAAAAGGTTTATTTAAAGCGAGAAAGAAATAAAGATGAAACGAGATGGGAGAAAGAGAAGGTTGGGAGGCGTAGGTTTTTTTTTTTTTAGGGGAAGCACGAGGAGGTTTTAGTTTGTTTTAACTTTAATGTTAATGGATAAAAATGAGATAGTCGTAATTTTAAAGGATAAAAGTGAAAAAAAAAAATATTTTTCAAATATACTCACTTTTTAAAATAGGATATATATATATATATATATTAGTCTACTAGTTGGTCTTAATTTGTAGAACTAGTCCATAGATTTTGGGGTTGAAAAAAGCAATAAGCTTGTGGTTTTGACATTTCCAAGAGGATGTCACTATCTTATCAACTTGCTGTTGAATATGAGGCCGGTAAGCTAGACGGGAAAAGTGATTATATTCGTTTCATGATTATGTATATATGAGTCGGTGACTCGGTGTTGACCATTACTAGTCTATGCCTCTATCTCTCTAGTCTCTCCCTCCACTTTCTGTTTCAGATTTACATCATTTTTGAGTAGGATTTCGTAGCAAGTGGATAAGCTGTAACTACTAAATTGTTTTTCGATCGGGGTGGCGTGGAACAAGTTTTAAGCAATCTGATAATAGTAAAATATGCTCAGGAAACCAACCTCCCAACTGTCTAGAAGATAAGCAAAAGGATAAAGATACTCTTAGGGAGATGAATCAAGATGACTCAGAGATGATGAATCAAGATGACTTGGCTCTGTACTTATCTAAAATCTGAAGTGAATTCAATTGTCAAGGTATAGAAGGGTTGCTGTTTTATTGGTCTACATCATGATTTTGACATCATGAGTTTAAGCTATAAAATTAATCTAAAGATAAAATTTTGTATTATGCATTTGGTTGTCTTTTTTTATTTTTAAAACTTATAAGTTGAAGGTTATAAAACAACAAAAAAAAGACTATAGTTCAACGGATGAATTGTAAGGGAAGAAAATAAAGTTTAAAATCTCCAGTTCAAAAAAAAATTTCTCTAGGAATGGAGTTTCCTTCAACAGATAGATTATAAGTTTCAGTTCTGATTTTATGACTCGGTTATACGTATTAACCTAACTCAAAAGTTAAAAAGGAATGAATCTCTCTTAAATTTTACTTAAAAAAAAAACCTCTTATATGCTCTTTCAAGCATTATCATGCTTGAATTTGGAATCAAAACAGAATAGGAAGCATGACTGTCTTGTTCTTTTTTAGTTTTTATTTGTATTCTACTTTTTTTAGCCGCTTCGAAGATTATAAATAGTAAATCATGCACATTCACTTCTTCTTTTTTTTCTTTCAAATGAACAATGCTCTTTAGACTTAATTCATTATGAGCCCCATCAATGAAACTTTGTGTTAATCTAATGATTACACTGAAACTATATCATTAAATTAAATTTTTAGGATAAGATTTTTTTTTTGAACAAGAATATTTAGGATTAAGGTTAAATCAACATATAAACTACTTGTAACAAGGGCACTTTGAAACTAGCAAAATAAGACAATCTATTTAAAGTCAAAGGCCCAAATCTTAAAGAAAGAAGAGTTTTTTGGAAGTCAGTACACCTAATTAGACTTATTTGGCAAAAAGTACATAGAACAAAATGTGAGTTAAAAAGACATAAATGTCTATTTTAGGATTATTTAATTCAAAATCTCTTATCTTTAATGCACCTTGATTCATGTGTGTTTGTTAATACATATAAATACGTATTTAATGCATATTGATTCATGTGTATTTGTTAATACATGTATATATATATGTGTGTGTGTGTGTGTATCTATGTATATACGAATATATATACTTATTTATATATATATATACACACACACACACACACACATATATATATATATATTAGTTGTTAATATACACACACACACATATATATATATATTAGTTGTTAAATCTCTTATTTAAATTTTAAATTATCTTTAATGCACCTTGATTCATGCATTTTTTTTTTGAAAAGTGATTTTATTTTTAAATTATATTTAATGCATCTTGATTCAAGCGTTTTTTTTTTTGAAAAATAGTTTTATTTTTAAATTAATTTAATATTCGAATAGTGTAATAGTATAACAATAACAGTGTAACAAAAACACTATAACAAAGACAATGTAACAAATACACTGTAACAAAAACAGTGTTCAGTAGTTTTGTGTATATGGTAAAAAATTCAAAACGGAGATGAATTATTTTGAATGAAATTATATGAAACTATGTATTTGACAAAATGTAATATTATAATATTTTGTGTAAATAGCTTATTACACTATTATTGTTATATCGTTACATTTTTATTGTTATACTATTACACTATTCGGATATTATATTAATTTGAAAATAAAATCACTTTCTAAAAAAAAAATGCATGAATCAAGGTGTATTAAAAGAAAATTTAAAAATTAGATAAGAAATTTAACAACAAGTATATATATATATGTGTGTATTAAAGTTTTCCCATAAAATTAGGAGATATTTAATGCACTATTTTCCAAAGAAAAGTGGTGCATTAAATGCACATGGATTAATGGAGGGCAAAAATGTCACAATAAAAATAAATAAATTCAAATTATGTACTTGGATATAAATAAATATCAAAATTAAATACTTAATAATCTTATATGTTTTAATGTGCATTTTTTACCAAATAAGTCTAATTTTATATACCCTTACGATCAAGAAAGAATTTGTAAAAGTATTGGAGGTGCCCAAACAATTGTAGTTAAAACCCAATGGGCTGAACAAAGACAAAGCCCACAAATATGGATCGTCACACCTTTTAATTGCGGCAATTGGCTGCCATTTGCATTTTGCAAGACTAAAGCAAAAACGACGCCGGTTCACTGCATCTCCATTGTCCATATCAACCCATCATCTTTCTGTTCAACACAAGACATTGATGAAAGAATCTAAACTGCTGAAGCTGAACAAACACAGACAGTTTGCTCAATCAGCTGCTTCACCGTGCCATTTTTAAGGCACGCAACGCTCATGAGTCACAACTCTCACTCTTCACTTTATCTCTCCTCTTCATTTCTAATCTGCCTCTAAACAATTCCCAAAAATGCCGATCGCCTCCATTTCCATTCTCCGCCACAGAACGACGCCGTCTCTTCCCCTCTGCGTTAGCTCTCTCCGCCGCATCTCCACCTTGCGCCACCTCTCCATCACCTCTTCCCGAAACCAGAACCCTAACGTCTCTCGCAAAACTCAACAACCACCGCCACCACCACCAAACAAGAACCTCCTCAAAGCGCGTGACACACTCAAACACTTCTCTTCTCTCTCTCCAGTCCTCAACTTCGAGGACAAGCCTCTCTCTCACAACCAGGCCATCGGCTTAGTCGCCTCTTCACAGGCCAATTTCATGCGCGTAATCGTCCAATCACTCCCTACTGAACTTTCTGCAACAGACGAATTGAATTCTAGCTTCGGCAAGGGTTTCGGAGAAACACAGAGAGTTGGAGTGGAATTGTTGTGCGTAGTGAGGGCGCTGTTGAAGAAGATAAAGAGGAGAGTTATGGTTGGGGATAAAGTGCTGGTTGGGTCAATTGATTGGGTGGACCGGAGAGGAATGATTGAGAATGTCTTCAAGAGGAAGACGGAGATTTTGGATCCTCCGGTGGCGAATGTGGATCATTTGCTGGTAATGTTCTCTATGGATCAGCCGAAGTTGGAGCCATTCTCACTGACAAGGTTTTTGGTGGAGGCTGAATCCACAGGGATTCCGCTCATGCTTGCGTTAAATAAGTCAGAACTCGTCGAAGAAGAGGTTTGAGTTTATATCTTTGGTAACAGTTACAAATTTTCAGAGGTTAAACCCCTACCAGCACTATTTTAGGGTGTCTGATATGTGTCTTTTTTTTTTTTTTCATCCAAGTTTCTGATTTTATAAAGCATAGAATGGGGGTGTATTTGGTTGTATGTGAATTGTGCAGTAGTGAGTTTGACAGTGAATTGCGAAGTAGTGAGTTTGAAGTGATTTGAACATTCTTTAACATTGCTAATTTATTCAATGATAATGCTATGCTGCATCTGCTTATGTCAGCTGCTTGAAATTGAGACTGAGGTTCACAAACGTATGAATGAATGTTTATGTGACTTGTCAGGAGGGCTTTGCTTGTAATGCTTAATTGTGTCATAAAATAGTTTTGAGTTATTTTACCATGATTATTAGTGTTTTCATATAGATGGTGGTTTAAGATTTTTGAAAATGCTTTTTGACGCTGAAGTTGAAACATTTTGTATATGCTGTAGACGCTAGTAATGTTATACTGGGCCTGCTTATGTCAAATGCTTGAAAATGAGATTCAGTTCAAATAACATGTGGTGCTTTGTGATGTTATTTTACTTGCCTGAGTTTTGAATAATTTAGGAGACTAGAAATTACTTGTGAGAATGCTCGGGTGATGTTTCTTTTACCTTTAAAATAAATTGAGTTTCAGAAGCACAAGTTGCTTTTTGAAGTATCTTTGGACATCCGTGTCATTGCAAATGGATTATGACAAGTCTTGTATACTTAAGCAACAAAATGATAATAACTCTGTTTGAAAGCTCAATCCTGCTATTGGCCTTTTGTCAAAAATTATGCAGACACTAGTTTCATGGAAATCTAGGCTGCGTAGATGGGGCTATGAACCAATTTTCTGCAGCGTTGAATCTAAAATTGAACTTGATACTCTACAATTCAATCTGAGAGAACAGACCTCTGTAATCGTGGGTTCAAGTGGTGTTGGAAAGTCCAGATCAATGCTTTGAGAGGTAATCTGTTGAAACGAAAATCTCAAAAGCCGTTGACAGCGCGTATGTATCGAATATCAAAAAATTTTCTTTAAGCCCTCGGGATTGATCTCGTCTCAGCACGAATGCAGAACAGAACAACGAGCAATCGAAGGATAGCTCGACGAACCTCGCGACATTATATCGTATATCCCCCAATGTAAAAATCCGGATGCAGTGTGGGCTGCCAAGACCTTCAAATCCTTATNAAAGGACAGCTCGACGAACCTCGCGACATTCTATCGTATATCCCCCAATGTAAAAATCCGGATGCAGTGTGGGCTGCCAAGACCTTCAAATCCTCATTTTCTTTTTTAGCCTCTCTAAAAAATATGAGTAAAGAATAGATCCTGGATTAGAGAGTCTAGACGTCTATATATAAGCTATGACAAAAACCATAANGAAGGATAGCTCGACGAACCTCGCGACATTATATCGTATATCCCCCAATGTAAAAATCCGGATGCAGTGTGGGCTGCCAAGACCTTCAAATCCTTATTTTCTTTTTTAGCCTCTCTAAAAAATATGAGTAAAGAATAGATCCTGGATTAGAGAGTCTAGACGTCTATATATAAGCTATGACAAAAACCATAAGGAGAAATAAGGATCGGGTTTCCAATGGATTTAGGATTCCTATGTTCAACCCAGAACAAACATCTTACAGCCCATTAATAATAAGTCAGTTCACTAAAAACTTATTATTGATCTCTTGAGTCTTATTTCAAAATTATATTTGAGTTTTTTATTATTATATACTTAATAATCTCCTCACGTTTAAGATTACAGATGTCCATCAATTAAATAAATTACTGACAATTATATTTAGTTGACTTTTTTTATTCCTTGAGACTTTCCTACTCAACTTATTTGTCATGTCGGATAATTAAATTCATCTGCAGGGGTTTGACATGGACAAAACTTATGAGTTTTCTCAAGAGAACACCATCAACTCATTTAAATAATAGAACGTGGTTTCCTTTAAAATTTAATTTTTACCATACAAATAACATCGTCTCCTAATTCACCGAGCTTGTTGACTCAATATGAATTTCACCATTTGATAAATTAAAGTGACAAATATTATATGCACGTGACAATTAAATATTTTGGGATTAAGAACATAAGCAATCATAATAATCATGAGGTATTTATTATCCTATTGAATTAATAAAAGATAATAACTTCAATATGGGTTTGTTCAATATACAAAGTGTACTAGTGCAATAATTTAAGACATCAAACAGTCTCCTACAGTCAAGACAAATTATGCCAGAATATTATACTACAATCATACCAATGGTGTGTCCAATGTCATCTTGGATTATGAACATATACTCATATTATATAAGGATCTGATAATCTAGTCTTCTGTGCATAAGCTGAACTTTACACACCAGATTATCTACAATGTAAAATATAAGACACANCAGTCTCCTACAGTCAAGACAAATTATGCCAGAATATTATACTACAATCATACCAATGGTGTGTCCAATTTCATCTTGGATTATGAACATATACTCATATTATATAAGGATCTGATAATCTAGTCTTTTGTGCATAAGCTGAACTTTACACACCAGATTATCTACAATGTAAAATATAAGACACACATGTATACCATATATTAAATATAATGCAAATATTTTGCCCACATAAATTCTCAATAAAATGGAAATAACAAACTTTTATTAATTAATAAAACGAGTTTCATTACAAAAAACAAGCTTCTATGTCACTCTCTCATCCTATTGTATGCATGATTATTATTAATTGCCAAATGATTTAGAAGTTCAAAAATTATGCAGACACTGGTTTCATGGAGATCTAGGCTGCATAGATGGGGCTATGAACCAATTGTCTGCAGCGTTGAATCTAAACTTGGACTTGATACTCTACAATTCAATCTGAGAGAACAGACCTCTGTAATCGTGGGTCCAAGTGGTGTTGGAAAGTCCAGTCTGATCAATGCTTTGAGAGGCAATCAACATGTCCTTGGTGTTGCAGGAGGGGACAATTGGTCTGATTCTGTGGGTGCCCTCTTTGTTTCTAATATTTATTTTACTCCCTGTCAGATCCTTTCTTTTTTTCTTATGCCTATCCACTTGTAAATGAGTTGTCTTTTGTTGATTTACCTATTTTAGATTCTAGGCAGCAAGTGGTTTGAAGATCAGCGAGTCGGGGAAGTGTCAACAAGAAGTGGCCGAGGAAAACACACTACTCGCCATGTTTCTTTGCTTCCATTAACTGGAGGAGGATATCTTGCTGATACTCCTGGGTTCAACCAGCCTAGTTTGACGAAAGTAACAAAGCAGTCTCTTGCACAACACTTCCCAGAGGTTTCTGCTATCAACTTTGCATATTTGGCTTCATTTTGGTTCACTTTTGTGTGATTCTTGTGCATCAAGCGCTGAATGCACACAATCTTATGTATCTTATGGCCTCACTTTTGATTTCCTTCAGATCCGGAAAATGCTCAATGCTAGTGAACCTGCGAAATGCACATTCAATGATTGCTTGCATCTTGGTGAACGCGGCTGCCTTGTCAAAGGGGACTGGGAAAGATATCCATACTATCTCCAATTGCTTGATGAGATCAAAATCAGAGAGGAGTTTCAACTAAGGACCGTTGGAACCAAAAGAGAGGGTGATGTAAGGTATGTTCATTGTAGCTAAGGAATAATTGGAACATAAGATTATCTGTGAGGTGTGTTTGTCATTTTTGAAAAATCTCATCTTTCCAAAACTGCATTGAGAAATTTAATGTGATGCATACCTGTCAATGCCTCCCTGTCGAATTTGTATCTTAACTTCCAGGGTAATACTGTCATAATAGCAAATGGTATACCATATTGAAGAGTGACAGTAGGAAAGTAACTGCCCTTCCATTGTCTTCTATGTTAGTGACATTTCAAGATACATTTTCAATTTCTCGGGGGTTAGTTGTGAAATTCAGTATATTAACTGTAGCACACACAAGATACAAAATTATTCATGTCTAACTTGTATAGTGTTACTAAATTTCTCAAAGATATCCCTGAATGAAGATCTTTTGGCTCCCAGATTGTATATCTATGCTCTGTCAAACAAAGGCTTTGCTTATGATACTCAAAGAGAACCATGGATTGACATCTTTGCACTTGAAAACTAGTTTTAAAGAAATTCAGCTGTAAGAACCTGTTTCTTTGAGCTTATCTAATGCAAAAAGTTTGTGTGATATAGCCCCTAAACAACATGATGACCCTAATTTATTTTTTTATTTATTTTTGAACCGGACATGATTGCAATAATGAGTGGGATCTTTTGAAAAGCACAAAACAGCAAACACTATCTACTCGTGTGGAAGATTTTGCATGTATCCTAATAGAATTCTCATAAGTACGAGTTATACTACTTTTCTGGATGAGCATGTGTATTTCCTAGCAAATTTGTTGAACACCAACAGAAAGCAATTGTTAAGTTCCTGGTTGTGTTGATTAAATTGTGCTAGAGAAATCATGAGTGCTTTAGTAAGATGGTTTCTGGGATACTTTACTTTCACTCCTTTGTCTAACTTTATAGCTCGCACTTACCTATGATTTTCTCTCTCTCCTTTAATCTCCTTTAATTTATATTATGATTTGAAAGTTTGGTGAACATTTTCAGGTACAAGGTGGGTGGAATGGGTGTCAAGCAAGCAGAACCGCGGCTGGAGCCCAAGAAGCATAGGAGACAATCTCGTAAGAGGATTAACCAGTCACTACTAGATGAGCTGGATGAACTTGATGATGACGACAACTTATCAGATGATGAGAATCCCATTTTAAGGGCAATGAGGCATGAAAACCAGTAGGAAGCATGCTGACTTGAATCTCACATTGTATATAAATTCCTTGACCCACTTTTTGTTGCCAGTACATATTACAGCACTAGATGAACAAGGATTTCGTAGGTTTACCCCGACAGAAGCTCTCAAAATACCTGTATGATGTAAGATAGCAGTGAATTGAAAGGTTTCATGCAGGAAATTAATGATTCTGTTCGTGTGAATTGTGTTGCAGACGCTGTGGAACGATTAGGACGTTTTGATGTGTACACATTACCACGCAGGTACCAGTTCCAGATGCTTAACGTAATTAGCGCTGGTTATTTCAAAGTTCTGTAATGCAATTGAGATTTCACTCGGTCACTCTTTCCATACCCTCAGTTGTCTTCCAGTTCTGAAGAAAGTTGGAGGTGGTGTAATATCGTTCAGGACATTCTCCCTGGGACTTCTCACATGAAGTTCCAAGATATTGCAATGGGCTCATGCACAGTGGGGTAGATGTGTCGTGTTGTAGTGCCAGTGGTGAAGTGCCAAATATAAGTTGTGAAGTGTCAAAAATGTTCAATTTATATCCGACTTATTTACAATAATAGTGTATAAAAAATTGTGTTTAATTGAGTTTGTATAGTATTGAGTTTATGTTACCTCATTTACTTTATTAGTCCANGTGTATCAGAAATTGTTTTTAATTGAGTTTGTATAGTATTGAGTTTATGTTACCTCATTTACTTTATTAGTCCAGTTGATCTATCCGGTTGCAACCCAAAGTCGTTGAGGGTAAATACAGTGAGGAATTTATAGATCATCATGTCTTGAATGGTCATGCCTAGTCTGTACGTGTGCGCTTCTAAATGCCCTTAACAGAAATTTATTAGGTGGTTGTATAATAATTGTTGAATTAACACTAAATTCTAATAATTGATAAAACTCAATGTCAATCCAAGGAAATTACATCAATAAATTAGGTCCAAATAGGATTACTCAACAATTATAGGTGTCAACAAAGTTCAAACATCAACGGATATGGACAAACATCGCCATATCTCACTCCAGATGCGATTACTGAAATTAACCACACCTCATGTTTTCAGAGACAATTACTAAGGTCAAGGTTAACATACAAGACATAATTTGGCAGAAATTACCTTAAAACAAGCCTCAATTACAGAGGAATAAAACCTGTCCCAAACATACTCCCTTCGAATATATGCATACCACAGTAAGATTTACAAGAACTCCAAACATCAGGTAAGCATATTACCTGCAAGCTAACAAATCTTTTCGCAAGATTGTCACAGACTCGCTGGTCGGCCTACCAAAGGGAAAGATGCAGAAAGANAAGACATAATTTGGCAGAAATTACCTTAAAACAAGCCTCAATTACAGAGGAATAAAACCTGTCCCAAACATACTCCCTTCGAAAATATGCATACCACAGTAACATTTACAAGAACTCCAAACATCAGGTAAACATATTACCTGCAAGCTAACAAATCTTATCGCAAGATTGTCACAGACTCGCTGGTCGGCCTACCAAAGGGAAAGATGCAGAAAGATGACTAATCAAATTCTTCGTACTCTATGTCCAAGTATATCTTACACTATATAGTTATAGCTCCCCACAGAAGCGATAAATGAATTCTGCTAAAAGGGAGGATTTTCTCATTAGCAACGCACTAACATATGGACCCCCTCACTTTTAGTTGCTACTTCTACTTTTGGCCACATCCAGCAAGTANCCAAACTACTCAACATGCACACACACACACACAATAACCTTTTGTCGGACAGGAAGTCAACCTACCCAAACTATAATTCAATTACTTGGTCAGATTTAAATTGAATTGTTATCCATCAAAATTTGAGNTAACAAAATCATATTGCTTTAACTAATAAATTTAAAATCAACAGAGTATTTCCAGAACATTTCGGGGTACCTCATAGAATCATAGCCTTACAAAACAGGGAAAGGTAAACTAGAAGATATAACTTGACAGANAAACAAAATCATATTGCTTTAACTAATAAATTTAAAATCAACAGAGTATTTCCAGAACATTTCGGGGTACCTCGTAGAATCATAGCCTTACAAAACAGGGAAAGGTAAACTAGAAGATATAACTTGACAGAAAACTTGTATAAGCAGTGACATCCACCCAATTAGGAAAAAGACTTTTCAACTTCTTTGCCGGCTCCACTAAATATTGGTCTACTACAGCAACTTCAACTTGTAAAGCTTCAGAACTGCTGGCCTGTGTAATAAAAAAAACAAAATGAAAACAAGTTTGGCTCTTTTTGATTCTGACTCGCCCACTTCAGTCATTGCAACTCTGGACAATTAATTAGACTAGAGCATTACAGATAACTGTTCTAATAAATAGTCTAGTCGAGATAGGTTATTGTCCATTTTTCCTTGTGTTTCTTTCTTTGCCTTTCTTTACTTTTTTTTTTGGGTGGGGTGGGTGGGGGGCAGAAAGTTATCTACTTGCACAATGTCATGTTTGGCTTTTGCCAAGTGATGGAAAGCATAAGGACAAAGAAGTCCAAAAGATTTCTACGACACAAGTAATGAAGAACAGGGCAAGTGTACAAAAGGAATTGGACTTAAGTGCACGTTATCATCGGGGAATTATACCGTAAACATGTAATTGCAACAAAATTTAGGAATCGTCTGCTCTCCACGCAGCAACAATTATTCTTGTTTTTGAGTTATAGGTCAAAAGCAACAAAAATTGATTCATGAATGCCAATGAAAGTCACTTCGAATGAAGCATTATTGTTGGACAACTCAAATTACATGAAAATAGCATTTGTTTCCAAGCTGTGTTATTTAGGGAACTAGTGTATATGCCATGTCTTTAGTCGGCAGATTATCCTTTTAACTACTATATTAAACCATATCGATCACAACCAGAATAGAGATGTAGCAAAATAAAACTATGCAAAAAGAGGCAGTAGAATATGAATGCCAACACAATGCCAAAACATGTTAAGAGTGTTACCTCCAGCCAGAACGTCCAGTTCTCCTGGGCTACTCCACTAAACCTACATATGTATGAGGGTGGACCACCATCAAGACTTTCTGGACCTGTGAAACAATTTCACGTGGATCATTATGCAGCCAAAAGCAGCACTTAAAGTCTGACTAAGAAGAAGAAAATTGAATCACCTGGAAGTATATTGCTTGCAAGAGACCAATTGGATAAGGGACCAGTAATATTAAGGACTGCAACCCAAACCTCCTTTGAAGAACTGAAAAAAATTAAAAAGTTACAAAACCTTGCTAATAATGTTGAAAGTATATACTATTTATTGTGGTCCAAGTCCTGACAATAAGTCAAATGCATGATAAGACACTTCCAGTCTTACAAAACTGTTAGCCTGCTGACAGAGGCTTCCAACATTCATCCATGAAAGAACCATTATTTAGATTTCTTATGAAATTACCACACAAAAATATGTTTTACACATGCATATCTATGACCATATTTTGGAAAATGAACATGTTCACAGTCCACTAGCCTAGAGATTTCAGTGCTGAAGGTGAAAGAAAGTGTAAAAATAAAGTACCATTGTTATTCCATCAATTGCATATGCTTGTATACTTACCCCAACGAAAACTCCAAGTAAACTCTCCGAGATCCCCCACTGTAAATGATTTGGGGCTTATAAGACGATAAATGAGGGAAGTATCGATATTGCTTCAAGATATCATCATTGTCTGCGGGGAATTTTAAGCTTCTTGAAAACAAGAAAGATACTGGAAAAATTCCCTGGAAAACAAATAAGCGTGTATTATATATTTCCTCCGAAGACATCCTTGAACAAAATACTAATTTGTGGCCACCAATTCATCAAAAAGTAATGATTAATTCAAAGTTCATATAAAATAGTATACAAATGAAATAGAATACCTTAAGCCAAACTACTCAACATGCACACACACACACACAATAACCTTTTGTCGGACAGGAAGTCAACCTACCCAAGCTATAATTCAATTACTTGGTCAGATTTAAATTGAATTGTTATCCATCAAAATTTGAGATTTTTACAACCAACTCTCAAGTTGCATGACAACAAAGTCATGTTTGAATAAAATGACAACTGTTGTACCATTTTAAGGAGACATAAGGCCTATTATCCAGTTTCTTTCCTATTTTTGAAAAAAAAAAACGAGAAACAAGAAGGTCTAGTAACCAGATTGCTTCAATGTATGCAGAGTGCTAACTTTTGCATAAAGTGGTTGCTCTCATACTCAAGTGCATTTCACTCTTGGAAGTCTGACCACTTTACAATTAAAAGGAAAAAGAAAAGCTGGCATAGAAAGACGAATATATGCAGGCATAAATGCGCCTTGCAGGTTCAGATGTGAAGTCCACCAAATAAGTCCGTTTAGAACAGACAAGGCCACTTTTATTCCTTATTAACACAAAAGGCATAAAAAGTTCATCTTAATCGATAATTTGGCTAAACATTCACTTAAAGATTGTAGGATATGTACCACCCAACTCTCTTGGCGAGACTGACTGATGGTGTCAAACAATAACTCTGAACCAATGTGTAGTTCCTTTGACACTTCTGGAGCATGTTTGAAAAGAAAAAGTAGGGAGTTGGAGTCAACTACAGATAAATCATAACTGGAGCCCACAACTTGAGCTGCATCTGTCAATCGCAGAAGTGAAACACTTGTTAGAAGTCACAAAAGTAATCAATTTGAAATGCATTCAAATTTTATACTCAACATCTAGCAGAATCCAAAAACACGAAAACACAGACTTGCATGAATAACCAACAATATCCGCAGTGAATATAACTTCATGTGAGAGAGAGCAGCCATATTCTATGAAGAAGAATGCTGAACAACCATGGACTTCTATGTTCATAAATCAAGCCTGATTAAAACTGTTATGGCCATGGTTACAAATATCAATATAATGACATCATATATGTTGCCTGGCCATTCTTAATTGCCTAACATTTTTGCTTATGCACAATTATTAGTTCAAAATGTACCAGAGATTTGATTCCATGACGTGTTGAGTCATTGACACTAATACATCTAAAATACACAAGCTTGCTTTAAGTGTGAGGATTGGAAAGAAAGTGAAGAAACTCTCATACCACCACACTATATATCCTAGAGGGCAATAACTTATCTTCAAGAGAGAAATCACCAATTCCTTCATGCAAAATATATACACTTCAAATTCAAAGCTCATAACTTGATTTATATATTGATAGCGCAGCATCTCCATTGTGAGCAATACCAATTAATATGCTAAAAGCAGCAAAAATAATCTAATGACCAAGGAGTTGAACCGCATGAAGTTAATTATGCATCTTCTTTGACAAATATGATGCATCAAATCTTCAGAACAAGAATAACAATGGGCAAAAACAGAACCTCCAAGGCAAATATAAGTGGTGTTGCTATTCCAGAGACAAGATTTACCAAAGGGAGGAGACCATTAGGCATAAATATCACAAAGTTGTACTTCATAAGAAGTTTTAGAGGTGTCATACTATCAGCTAGACCGTAGAAGATTGTTAAGTATAAGATCACTAATCTTTTATTGAACCAAAGCGGGGTTGTGTGTATGAGACTGTACAATGTCATATAATAAGTGGCAAACAATGTCAAGTCATAGAAACTACAAGGGCAAGCAAATTAGGGTTTACACATTTAAACTCTAATACATTCAGTACCTGCAGTCAGAACTGTATGCTGGAAAACAACCCTTTTAGGTGCATCTGTGCTGTATGGAAAGAACTGGGATGATATAGCCAAGGCAAGCACACTAATATGCAGCAAGAATTGCATTATAGATGACCTGGCTAACCAATGGCCAGCAACTGGTATAAGAGGTCCTGTACACCAACCGGTCACAATTCCAATAGTTGCTGCCACTACAGCATCAGGAATGAAATACCCTGCAAGCAAATTAGACTTTGTCACTTCATATCATGTAAATATTTTTAAAATGCTGACATAACTAGGAACTTATTCATGGCCTGTTTCAATGTTTTCACCATAAACCTTCTCAAGACGACAAAGTTTGGGTATCCACAAGAAGTTCATTGTGAGATGAATATTGATGGCATAAAATTTCAGAAATACCACTTTAATTATGACTGTAAAGAAGGGAAATTAATGGTCCAAAGCAGAAGTCAATTTTCCTTTTAGACACAATACATGTAAATATGATGCAATCACAACACGTAATTAGGAAGAACATCCCATTCACCCTAATGACCAAAACAAACAGAAAAAAGAAAAGAATTCCCCAAAACAAAAACAAGAAAATAAGAATTGTACAGAATTACGGATAATATTAAGGATCTGAATACTAGAAGATAAGTTTCAAATTAAATTATGATAGCTTGATAAAGGTTGAAAGTTGAAACATTCATTTTGATTGATTTTTTAGTAAAATGCACAGCCATCCAAGTGCTAAACCATAAAACTCATTGGTCTGGCACAAGTTGAGGGGGAAGAGTAGGATCTGAGGATGCAGATAGCTCACTTTATAAACCTTGCTTCTACAATATAATTGGACTGACATTTAGATTAGTACTTCTTTTTCAATTTCTTCATTTTTTGTGGGCACTACGTAGGTAAAAAAACAAATTGGAGCAAGATTGCACAAATTTGGAAAATAAATAAGCTTAGATGTACTAACCATAAGGCGGTGGTAGTGAGCCCATCATGCCCATTTTCTCGATCAAGAACTGGGCCATTAACCCACCAAAGTAAACAGAGTAGATAAGGAAAGGTATAAGGGGTACCACATAACATGCCGTAGACCTGATAGAGACGATTTCTAATCAGATCACTGTAGAAAACAAGTTATTAGATACCAGGTTTGTGTTTGGAAGCCTTAATTCCATCCTGATACCAAATAAGGAATCTCTCTCTTTCAAGACAACCTACAACCAGCTATGTAACATATTAAACTTTCCCTTATATCACTGGAAGATAAAAGAACAAAACTTCCATCGATTCAAATGAATCACAACAGTAAAGAATATATATAACCAAAAATATTTCACAATAGTTACCTGAGTGATTTGTGACCAAAGGATTTAATTGATACGCAGAATGAGATCCATGCAGGAAGCATAAAGGCTGCTGACCAAAAAGTCAAGAAACCTCCATTCAACCCAGCTAAAAGATAAGCCTGGTTTCAATATGTTGCTTTAGTAATACAAGTCTTCAAATATTATTCTATCAAACTGATCTAGTTACACAGCTCTGGTGAGCAATACAAGAATAAAACTCCACGTGCAAGACGACATAAGATTATAATTGAAACGAATTACACACCAGCGTCAATAGAGCATACAGCCCAAATGCTCCCCAAAACCTTGCTTCATCTGCTAGTTGCTGCAATATNCAAGAATAAAACTCCACGTGCAAGACGACATAAGATTATAATTGAAACGAATTACACACCAGCGTCAATAAAGCATACAGCCCAAATGCTCCCCAAAACCTTGCTTCATCTGCTAGTTGCTGCAATATTTTAATATAAAATCAGAAGTTTGCTAACTCGATAACGTTGTGAATTCTGCAAGCCAGTAACTCAATTGATTGACAATTTGAAATTCTAAGACGTGAATTCAGCCACAACAGACACTAAACAAACTCCCCCCCCAAAAAAAAAACAAAGGGCAAACAAAACCAACTGGCAAAAAATACTGTGTACATAAATCAACTTCAGAATCTTCACTGATCACCATGATCTGCACAACCATTTAGCAGCTTGGTCTCACCAAGCTGATAACATGTTGCTCCAGCAACTTCAGCAAAGACCCATCTTGTAGTTTATGGTACATATATTTTCAATTTTCAATATAGTATATGAGGCATCGCAAAAATTAATTGAACAGTTCTTNGTGTTGCTCCAGCAACTTCAGCAAAGACCCATCTTGTAGTTTATGGTACATATATTTTCAATTTTCAATTTTCAATATAGTATATGAGGCATCGCAAAAATTAATTGAACAGTTCTTTTGTAACCAATGCCCCATTTCTTAATTCCCAAACCCAACATTTGTTGTGCATCATAAATGTCTCCATAATATAGGATAATCTGAAATCAGTTCCATAATTTCCATCAAACAAATGTTTACTATTTCAATGTTCTAAGAACAGAAACATCTCTTGTGTGTATGCGGTGGGTGGGTGTGGGTGTGTGTGTGTGTGTGTGGGTGTGAGAGAGAGAGAGAGATGAGGGAAGTATCTACAAACAGCTATTGGAATCAACAGACCAACCAGTGGACAGGTAACAAATCATAATTTGGTAAAGCCAAGATGAACAACTGTACCTCTTTTGATGATTTGAGAACAGAAACATCCTGAGAGAGAGGAAAGCATCGCCAAACAATCCTTGGAATCAACAGACCAGCAAGTGAACAGGGTATGAACATCATAAAAGCTAAGTATGGATTAGCAAACCTACATAGAGAAAAAAAAGGTCACCAAAATCGAAAGTATCAAACTGTGACATTTAAAATTTTACAAAATGCCCGAGTTCTAGTATCAAACTCCTTGATGAACTTCAACAACTCCACAACTGGAATCGATTCGCAGTGGTTAATGGATTCCATAAACATTGAGTTTACTGCTGTGAAGTTTTAGGCCATGCTTATTTAATCCAACAATGATGTATTTGGGTTCTAAAAGAATATCAAGGTTGTCTCTAATAAATTAAATAATAGTGATCTCAAAGAAAGACATAAACACCTACCAGTGCATTGAATGACCAGAGAATAGCAGCCGCAGGATGCTAAAGATAACTGGAAAAATAATGGCAAGTATAATCCCAATAGCATGCAAAATCATTCCTGCAAATTGGCATAGTAACTGCATCACACATATGCATTATAATATATAGATGGTCGAGGGCCAATATTTCAAGTAAAAAGACACATTCAATATCTGTAATTACCCCTTACCTTTGAAAAAGTCCCAGAAGGTCATGAAGGAAGACCATACTCCGCTATTTGGGAGGCGCAGAAAAAAAGGCATAAGAAAGTAGAGAGCAAAAGGAATACTATGAAGTATCATTGCTTGCCTTCTTGAATAGAATATCTGGAAGATTCATATATGAATTTTAAAGATAAACTTTTCTAAAAGAAAATCCTTGTTGATGATAAATGTACAAGTAGATTAAGCAGAAAATGTTTATAAAACAAATTCTGAGCTAGTAGAATGTAACATACCAAGAACCATGACAAGTAATCAAAGAAAACAGCCCGCTCATCTTCAGATCCAACAGCAGTGTCTCTAAGAGACTCTCGGTCGTGGGCATTTCGTAGCTTAGAAGAATTGGAGAGTGCTTTAACTACACCAAACAAATTGTCCCCACGTGCTTGGATACTTCCTGGTCTGGCTCACAGAGAATCACATTAATTAGGACGAGAACCCAAATTGACGAAGTGATCTTAAAATCACAATTAAGTGAACTATACCAAAATGGCATTTGTAATGCATACAATAGTCTTTCCACAGTATCGGAGGATGTATGATAAAAATAACCCCCAAGGAGAAATATAATATCCAGCCCTGGAATGTTGCCATAATCATTGGCAAATATTCTGTAATCCGTGTCACCAGGAACAGCTCCAAAAACATCCTGCATACATGCAAAAAAAGAAAAAATTAACAAATAATCCAATCAGAGAGTATATATGACAATTACACCAAGGACAATAAGCGAACAATGTGAATATAAGGCCATCTCCACTCCTAACTCAAACTCTTACTCAAATTTAAATTTGAGTAAAAACAAACTAAAAAAAAGTTTCAGTCTTCACCGCAAACGTATACCAAATGAAGGGAGACTCAACTTTTTACTCAAATAAAGGCAAACTCAAATATTTGCTCAAATCTTCAATGGTCAAATTTCACTCTTTCAAAAGATCCAATGACCATATTTCACNGCCGCAAACATATACCAAATGAAGGGAGACTCAACTTTTTACTCAAATAAAGGCAAACTCAAATATTTGTTCAAATCTTCAATGGTCAAATTTCACTCTTTCAAAAGATCCAATGACCATATTTCACCTTCCTTTAAATTTGAGTTTGCCCTTCTTTAAATTTGAATTTGTCCATTGGAGAATTCTATACCAAATCAAGCTTTTTACTCAAATTTGAGTTTGAGTTTGGGTCAACATTGTAGATGCCCTAACTGAAATGAAGCGCAACTTAATTTTATGGTTCCAAGCTCACCATGAAAGAGAAAAGGATGTCAAAGATGACATCGAACTTATGGAACAACACAAAATAATCACTATACTGGTGTGCATACACAATAAACAGCAGATTAAGACCCCATTTTTCAACAGCCTTACATGCTTTCATCAAAATGTAATAACACATGAAAATTTCCAAATTTTGAACAGTCATCTCTCCAAAATTGGAGCTTGTATCATCAACTAATTTAAAGCTGTTCAAATGAAATAATAGAGAAGTAAAACCAAAACCTGAGCTGCACTATTTGCCATTGGATATAGAGCTGATTGAGAATAGATATAGGAAGGCCAAGATCCAGGTCCAGTTTGGCACACAACATCTGTTACTTGAATAATAAAAATCAGCAAATAAATTCTGCTTAAAAAAAAGATGCAGTAGCATCACATGAAATAAAACCTACAGTTTGCACCCTCCATTAATGCAATAGAGTTTTCTTAATTTTTTTCCGTAGTAATGTAGCATACAAATGCATTTGGTTAGCCAACTTGTTCAACAGAATTAATGTTTATTGAAGCCACAAACCCAATATAGCTCCATAAAGTGCAATATAAATCAGTAAAAACAAATAAAAAGCAATCAGCCAATGTCTCACAAAAAAGCACAAAACCCACTCTGATAACCTTGGGAAAAGGTCGTCTTCACAGTACATTCTTTCCACAATCCTCTTAACAAGACTTAAAAAATCTCTTAACTTAATCATACAAATGTAGCTTATGAAAGTGCAGCTGGATTAACAGCAGAGCAGCTGCATTGAAATAGCTATCACACAATTGAGGTTTATTGTTGTTGCCATGACTTGTGTTCAATTCTATCCATTTGCATCGTCCATTCAAAATTTTGGTTACAAGCCACACAGTGGCAACCTAGAGGCAATATTTTTGGTACTTGTCTACATATTAGTTCTTTTCAACTGCTGTGCATTAGATAGGCCAAACACTTGAAGGAAAAAAATATTTCTCATTTGCACTAGGAGATTCAACCACTTCATGAATGATTGAACCTCAATATATTTTCAACCATATTAGAATCAGTAATTGTAAGAAGGCCGCTATCACTAGTTCATCTCATAGATTCCTTTTTTGCTAGCTTGACGTAAGAGGTAACTGCCACTGTAAAGAATAATGTCTACCAAGAACCAGAAGCTGGTTGCACTCCCAATTGATAAGCACCAGCATGGCAAAAAAATTCAAGATCTTTGCAAAATGAACATATTAGCAGCCAATAAATACTTACCTAGCTCACTAATCCAAAAAAAATACTTACCTAGCTCACTAATCCAAACAAAATACTTACCTAGCCCTCCAGTCCCAGACGCTTCGACATTTATAAAAGCTCCGATTGTATCACGCCATTTATGTGTTGTCATGAAGCCATGTGAACCCTGAAAAGTCATAAGCAGATCACTTGTCTTAAGCTCATATGTCTATGAAGCCATTTATGCATCTAATGAGCAGAAGCCGGAAAAGTCTATCACACTCTGCTCACCACAATTAGTGAGCCATGGATGTGAATTTAATATTTACTATTATGGAATAACTGTAACACAAGCCTTTCCAGCTCGTATAGCATGTTAAGTGTTAACAACATATTATTCTGTAAGCTCAAGCATATCTTACAATAATCTAATTTATTAGATGATTTCAATGTTGTCATCCAGCATTAAAGTAGACTGAATTTACATCGTTTTGGAAATGCAACATAATGGTAGTACAAACAATGTCCTTAGATGCAAAGGTGACCTTAATATAGCCCTGCATATCAGTGTCTGACCACTCTCAAGACACAACACATTCATATTGTAAGACCCTTATTAACATGTGTACTTATTCACTTTGGAAGATGCTGCAACGTCGCCAAAGTGAAAACATAAATATGATGTAGAACTAATCGGTGTAATGCAGAACATATTATTACGGTTTAACAACTATGGTTGGGTCTGACAAATTAATTGTAAGTAATATCTATGACGAATCAAACTCAAGTAAAACAACTATTACTGGTTAGTAACATCAATAATGGTAATAATCAACATTTTTCGCTTAAAGTATATCAATCATAAATTTATGTCAATATTAGAGGCATACATGCTTAATCACTTTATGCATGATTCAAGATTGACATTTTATAAACTTATTGCAAGATAATAATATAAAAGGAAGAGAATAAGACAGGCGAGGAAGAATAGAAAACACACATATATGACATTCAGACAATCCGCCTACAACCATGGACCAAATGCACAAAGGACTACATCTCTTATTGTAGTTCATCCATCATATTTGCATAGAAACCCAGCTTTTATAAGGGGTGACAAAAAAAATAAGTGTTAAATACAAGATTCTGAATCTTAGAAATCACGCAAATTAACCCAATCAATGAGTTAAAATAAGTAAATTATCTCTAAAATCTTTCTAAATGGAGGTTAAGGTTGGTTTGATCAACTCATATGTTCAACAGAAAGGCTATCCCTTTTTTTTTTTAATCCATTTGATCTAATAGTGTCGAGGGATTAGTGCAAGTGACAAAAAAATGTCCAAAGTTGAAACTAAATGAAAGGAAACAAACTCGGAAAAAACCATTAAACTTTGAAATAAAATCATAAAATACAATAAAAAATCCTGACAAGACCAAATTCTCCATAACAACAGAAGTCAAATCAAAAGCTTAGAACACTAGTCCACTACACAATCATACCATTTCCTTTTTCATTTTTTTCGAGAAAAATAAAGAAAAAAGTTATTATGACACAAGATGTGGGAGAAAAAAATGTAGTATAACAGTTCATGTTAAAAGGTCACTGAATCTGTGAAAACACCCACAACACTGGGATCAACCAGAGCAAGTTTCAGAAATAAAACTCATCCCTCAGAATTTTACAATAAACACAGTTTCTTACCAGCATAAAAAGTTCTTCTGCGCCATTAAATAGAAATATAATGGGTCGAGGAGGAATCCATCCAGAATCAACAGTGAGCCGGGCTATTTCCAGCATTGATGCTGCAAAAGAGGACACGATACAATCAAGGGAAACATAACTACTTAGATGCATCTAAAAATGTAAAAGTTACTTATGAAACCCACCAACACATGAGCCACAATCACCAGCGCCCGGAGAACCAGGTGGAGCATCAAAATGGCCATTCAACAAAAATGATGGGTCAGTGTCATGTGAATCTATTGATGAAATCCTGTAACTCAGAGTCAAGATAATTCAATGTCATTTACTGAAAAAAATTGGCAGTTTGGGTTTGAAAGAGAAATTTTTCACTGCTTCAGTTTTGGATGGTAACGGTGTGACTTATCTATTACTTTTTGTTGTGCAAGAGGGAAACTTGGTATCTCCCCACTGTCTTAAAAATTTCCATAACCATCACTCCATCCCCCCCCCCCCCAAAAAAAAAATATATATATATATATATAGATATATTTTATTGCTACAGTTTCATTTTTCTTACAACAAACTTTTACACGTGCGCACACATCATGTTTGCCACACATTCTAGAATTTAGGTATCAATCAGGAAGACAACATAGTAAATGCATCCTGGCTCGCCAGTAATTTGGGAAGTCATGAAGTATCACCTAGAACCTAATTTGCAAGGCTAAATTTTATCTGATATTCTGGTTTCACTTTCTTGTTGCCTTTGTATTCATGTGCCCTTTCTCTCCCTCACACAAGCTCTAATAGAGGCCTCAACAGCTCATCATTAGAAGAACAAGAAACTTGGTGCAACACCTGGACTCCCAAAGTCCCTGGAAATTTCATACAATATACTAAATTCGCATGAAAAAGTACAATGTCCAACTTAAACCCAAATAGGATACCTCATGACAATGTTTGTATGATTTCTATATGCCAGAGACAGACTATGGCCTAGAAACAACATGGTGAAGGAGCCATTAATGATGTTTTCCTCTATCTCAATCCTGAAATTATACAAGTTCAAAAAATAATTAAAATGAAATCAACATAATTTCGTACAACTCTAACTTTACTCACATATTGCATATCTTTAAAATATAAAACCAACTACCGACCTAAGATTGGGTCCAGCTTGCTCCTTCATCTTTTCCAACTGCGTTTTGATATATTCAGCAGCTTCTCTTAAACCTTGACGCCCTACCTATCAATATATAGGTATTGGAATTAAACATAATCAAGAAAAAGCAATGGACGTATATCCTATACTCATCAACTAGCTTTCACTCAGTTATGTCACCCAGAAAAATTGAACTAGGGATAAGAAACAAGATATGAATCGCATGAAAGAACGCAAAGTTAAGCGAATTTTCGTCGTCTCAGACACTCGATATTCAGAATTCTGACTTCCACAAATTCTCAGCAACCCAACAGAGAATAATTAATCGAGCACATTCAACTGAATTAAATCAAACACAATCCAAGCTCAAACATGACCAATTGGAACAACATACATGGCATATACCATATGTGTGCCTATAACTACATTCATTATTGGTGTTGAAAGAGAAACGTATGTAAAATCTTTCTAACCTGGCGACCATCGATCTCCTTGGACAACACTCGGACATGCTCGACGGCTCTGGATTCCGAAAATCGATCGAGAGGCGCATCGAGGCCGAGAGGTGTGATGAACTTCATGTGAATGACGGAGTAGGCTATAATCGACATGAGACCGTAAAGAATCGCCAAACAAAACAGTACTTTGAAGCCAGCGACATCTCCGGAACTTAACCTGAACGCCATTTTTTAGAAACTCCAGCGTCGGTCCCTTTGAATCTAAATTAACGCAGATAGGTTATGAATGAGACTAAAANACCTTCCTTTAAATTTGAGTTTGCCCTTCTTTAAATTTGAATTTGTCCATTGGAGAATTATATACCAAATCAAGCTTTTTACTCAAATTTGAGTTTGAGTTTGGGTCAACATTGTAGATGCCCTAACTGAAATGAAGCGCAACTTAATTTTATGGTTCCAAGCTCACCATGAAAGAGAAAAGGATGTCAAAGATGACATCGAACTTATGGAACAACACAAAATAATCACTATACTGGTGTGCATACACAATAAACAGCAGATTAAGACCCCATTTTTCAACAGCCTTACATGCTTTCATCAAAATGTAATAACACATGAAAATTTCCAAATTTTGAACAGTCATCTCTCCAAAATTGGAGCTTGTATCATCAACTAATTTAAAGCTGTTCAAATGAAATAATAGAGAAGTAAAACCAAAACCTGAGCTGCACTATTTGCCATTGGATATAGAGCTGATTGAGAATAGATATAGGAAGGCCAAGATCCAGGTCCAGTTTGGCACACAACATCTGTTACTTGAATAATAAAAATCAGCAAATAAATTCTGCTTAAAAAAAAGATGCAGTAGCATCACATGAAATAAAACCTACAGTTTGCACCCTCCATTAATGCAATAGAGTTTTCTTAATTTTTTTCCGTAGTAATGTAGCATACAAATGCATTTGGTTAGCCAACTTGTTCAACAGAATTAATGTTTATTGAAGCCACAAACCCAATATAGCTCCATAAAGTGCAATATAAATCAGTAAAAACAAATAAAAAGCAATCAGCCAATGTCTCACAAAAAAGCACAAAACCCACTCTGATAACCTTGGGAAAAGGTCGTCTTCACAGTACATTCTTTCCACAATCCTCTTAACAAGACTTAAAAAATCTCTTAACTTAATCATACAAATGTAGCTTATGAAAGTGCAGCTGGATTAACAGCAGAGCAGCTGCATTGAAATAGCTATCACACAATTGAGGTTTATTGTTGTTGCCATGACTTGTGTTCAATTCTATCCATTTGCATCGTCCATTCAAAATTTTGGTTACAAGCCACACAGTGGCAACCTAGAGGCAATATTTTTGGTACTTGTCTACATATTAGTTCTTTTCAACTGCTGTGCATTAGATAGGCCAAACACTCAAAGGAAAAAAATATTTCTCATTTGCACTAGGAGATTCAACCACTTCATGAATGATTGAACCTCAATATATTTTCAACCATATTAGAATCAGTAATTGTAAGAAGGCCGCTATCACTAGTTCATCTCATAGATTCCTTTTTTGCTAGCTTGACGTAAGAGGTAACTGCCACTGTAAAGAATAATGTCTACCAAGAACCAGAAGCTGGTTGCACTCCCAATTGATAAGCACCAGCATGGCAAAAAAATTCAAGATCTTTGCAAAATGAACATATTAGCAGCCAATAAATACTTACCTAGCTCACTAATCCAAAAAAAATACTTACCTAGCTCACTAATCCAAACAAAATACTTACCTAGCCCTCCAGTCCCAGACGCTTCGACATTTATAAAAGCTCCGATTGTATCACGCCATTTATGTGTTGTCATGAAGCCATGTGAACCCTGAAAAGTCATAAGCAGATCACTTGTCTTAAGCTCATATGTCTATGAAGCCATTTATGCATCTAATGAGCAGAAGCCGGAAAAGTCTATCACACTCTGCTCACCACAATTAGTGAGCCATGGATGTGAATTTAATATTTACTATTATGGAATAACTGTAACACAAGCCTTTCCAGCTCGTATAGCATGTTAAGTGTTAACAACATATTATTCTGTAAGCTCAAGCATATCTTACAATAATCTAATTTATTAGATGATTTCAATGTTGTCATCCAGCATTAAAGTAGACTGAATTTACATCGTTTTGGAAATGCAACATAATGGTAGTACAAACAATGTCCTTAGATGCAAAGGTGACCTTAATATAGCCCTGCATATCAGTGTCTGACCACTCTCAAGACACAACACATTCATATTGTAAGACCCTTATTAACATGTGTACTTATTCACTTTGGAAGATGCTGCAACGTCGCCAAAGTGAAAACATAAATATGATGTAGAACTAATCGGTGTAATGCAGAACATATTATTACGGTTTGACAACTATGGTTGGGTCTGACAAATTAATTGTAAGTAATATCTATGACGAATCAAACTCAAGTAAAACAACTATTACTGGTTAGTAACATCAATAATGGTAATAATCAACATTTTTCGCTTAAAGTATATCAATCATAAATTTATGTCAATATTAGAGGCATACATGCTTAATCACTTTATGCATGATTCAAGATTGACATTTTATAAACTTATTGCAAGATAATAATATAAAAGGAAGAGAATAAGACAGGCGAGGAAGAATAGAAAACACACATATATGACATTCAGACAATCCGCCTACAACCATGGACCAAATGCACAAAGGACTACATCTCTTATTGTAGTTCATCCATCATATTTGCATAGAAACCCAGCTTTTATAAGGGGTGACAAAAAAAATAAGTGTTAAATACAAGATTCTGAATCTTAGAAATCACGCAAATTAACCCAATCAATGAGTTAAAATAAGTAAATTATCTCTAAAATCTTTCTAAATGGAGGTTAAGGTTGGTTTGATCAACTCATATGTTCAACAGAAAGGCTATCCCTTTTTTTTTTTAATCCATTTGATCTAATAGTGTCGAGGGATTAGTGCAAGTGACAAAAAAATGTCCAAAGTTGAAACTAAATGAAAGGAAACAAACTCGGAAAAAACCATTAAACTTTGAAATAAAATCATAAAATACAATAAAAAATCCTGACAAGACCAAATTCTCCATAACAACAGAAGTCAAAGCAAAAGCTTAGAACACTAGTCCACTACACAATCATACCATTTCCTTTTTCATTTTTTTCGAGAAATATAAAGAAAAAAGTTATTATGACACAAGATGTGGGAGAAAAAAATGTAGTATAACAGTTCATGTTAAAAGGTCACTGAATCTGTGAAAACACCCACAACACTGGGATCAACCAGAGCAAGTTTCAGAAATAAAACTCATCCCTCAGAATTTTACAATAAACACAGTTTCTTACCAGCATAAAAAGTTCTTCTGCGCCATTAAATAGAAATATAATGGGTCGAGGAGGAATCCATCCAGAATCAACAGTGAGCCGGGCTATTTCCAGCATTGATGCTGCAAAAGAGGACACGATACAATCAAGGGAAACATAACTACTTAGATGCATCTAAAAATGTAAAAGTTACTTATGAAACCCACCAACACATGAGCCACAATCACCAGCGCCCGGAGAACCAGGTGGAGCATCAAAATGGCCATTCAACAAAAATGATGGGTCAGTGTCATGTGAATCTATTGATGAAATCCTGTAACTCAGAGTCAAGATAATTCAATGTCATTTACTGAAAAAAATTGGCAGTTTGGGTTTGAAAGAGAAATTTTTCACTGCTTCAGTTTTGGATGGTAACGGTGTGACTTATCTATTACTTTTTGTTGTGCAAGAGGGAAACTTGGTATCTCCCCACTGTCTTAAAAATTTCCATAACCATCACTCCATCCCCCCCCCCCCCAAAAAAAAAATATATATATATATATATATAGATATATTTTATTGCTACAGTTTCATTTTTCTTACAACAAACTTTTACACGTGCGCACACATCATGTTTGCCACACATTCTAGAATTTAGGTATCAATCAGGAAGACAACATAGTAAATGCATCCTGGCTCGCCAGTAATTTGGGAAGTCATGAAGTATCACCTAGAACCTAATTTGCAAGGCTAAATTTTATCTGATATTCTGGTTTCACTTTCTTGTTGCCTTTGTATTCATGTGCCCTTTCTCTCCCTCACACAAGCTCTAATAGAGGCCTCAACAGCTCATCATTAGAAGAACAAGAAACTTGGTGCAACACCTGGACTCCCAAAGTCCCTGGAAATTTCATACAATATACTAAATTCGCATGAAAAAGTACAATGTCCAACTTAAACCCAAATAGGATACCTCATGACAATGTTTGTATGATTTCTATATGCCAGAGACAGACTATGGCCTAGAAACAACATGGTGAAGGAGCCATTAATGATGTTTTCCTCTATCTCAATCCTGAAATTATACAAGTTCAAAAAATAATTAAAATGAAATCAACATAATTTCGTACAACTCTAACTTTACTCACATATTGCATATCTTTAAAATATAAAACCAACTACCGACCTAAGATTGGGTCCAGCTTGCTCCTTCATCTTTTCCAACTGCGTTTTGATATATTCAGCAGCTTCTCTTAAACCTTGACGCCCTACCTATCAATATATAGGTATTGGAATTAAACATAATCAAGAAAAAGCAATGGACGTATATCCTATACTCATCAACTAGCTTTCACTCAGTTATGTCACCCAGAAAAATTGAACTAGGGATAAGAAACAAGATATGAATCGCATGAAAGAACGCAAAGTTAAGCGAATTTTCGTCGTCTCAGACACTCGATATTCAGAATTCTGACTTCCACAAATTCTCAGCAACCCAACAGAGAATAATTAATCGAGCACATTCAACTGAATTAAATCAAACACAATCCAAGCTCAAACATGACCAATTGGAACAACATACATGGCATATACCATATGTGTGCCTATAACTACATTCATTATTGGTGTTGAAAGAGAAACGTATGTAAAATCTTTCTAACCTGGCGACCATCGATCTCCTTGGACAACACTCGGACATGCTCGACGGCTCTGGATTCCGAAAATCGATCGAGAGGCGCATCGAGGCCGAGAGGTGTGATGAACTTCATGTGAATGACGGAGTAGGCTATAATCGACATGAGACCGTAAAGAATCGCCAAACAAAACAGTACTTTGAAGCCAGCGACATCTCCGGAACTTAACCTGAACGCCATTTTTTAGAAACTCCAGCGTCGGTCCCTTTGAATCTAAATTAACGCAGATAGGTTATGAATGAGACTAACAGGCGTCTTATTTTATATTATCGATTGATCCTATCTAGGGAAGGAAGGAGAGAGAGAGAGAGAGCGAGAGAGAGAGAGAGAGGAGAGGGGGGGTGTTGAAGTTCAAAAGCACCAACCTGAGCGCATCGGAAGATGCTGGTACTTGTCTGCAGAGGCAATGAGACACGAGAGCTTATAAGAGAAGTTTAAAAATGTGTCCCACGTCGTTTAGATTTTCTTTGTACTACATTAATTGACACCTGTTTTGGCCCTCTGCCTTCAGATTGATGATGCCCCCNAAAGAATAATGTCTACCAAGAACCAGAAGCTGGTTGCACTCCCAATTGATAAGCACCAGCATGGCAAAAAAATTCAAGATCTTTGCAAAATGAACATATTAGCAGCCAATAAATACTTACCTAGCTCACTAATCCAAAAAAAATACTTACCTAGCTCACTAATCCAAACAAAATACTTACCTAGCCCTCCAGTCCCANTTTCAAAATCTTTGCAAAATGAACATATTAGCAGCCAATAAATACTTACCTAGCTCACTAATCCAAACAAAATACTTACCTAGCCCTCCAGTCCCANCCCCTGACCTTGATTTCTTTTCGAAAAATGTTATATCCAAATAAAATGTAAAAAATATAATTTAAATATATATTATTTTNTCCTGACGTTGATTTCTTTTTGAAAAATGTTATATCCAAATAAAATGTAAAAAATATAATTTAAATATATATTATTTTTTGGACAAGTATTAGATAAGTGGATTCCACTCAAAAAATTGATGATACNCAGACGCTTCGACATTTATAAAAGCTCCGATTGTATCACGCCATTTATGTGTTGTCATGAAGCCATGTGAACCCTGAAAAGTCATAAGCAGATCACTTGTCTTAAGCTCATATGTCTATGAAGCCATTTATGCATCTAATGAGCAGAAGCCGGAAAAGTCTATCACACTCTGCTCACCACAATTAGTGAGCCATGGATGTGAATTTAATATTTACTATTATGGAATAACTGTAACACAAGCCTTTCCAGCTCGTATAGCATGTTAAGTGTTAACAACATATTATTCTGTAAGCTCAAGCATATCTTACAATAATCTAATTTATTAGATGATTTCAATGTTGTCATCCAGCATTAAAGTAGACTGAATTTACATCGTTTTGGAAATGCAACATAATGGTAGTACAAACAATCTCCTTAGATGCAAAGGTGACCTTAATATAGCCCTGCATATCAGTGTCTGACCACTCTCAAGACACAACACATTCATATTGTAAGACCCTTATTAACATGTGTACTTATTCACTTTGGAAGATGCTGCAACGTCGCCAAAGTGAAAACATAAATATGATGTAGAACTAATCGGTGTAATGCAGAACATATTATTACGGTTTAACAACTATGGTTGGGTCTGACAAATTAATTGTAAGTAATATCTATGACGAATCAAACTCAAGTAAAACAACTATTACTGGTTAGTAACATCAATAATGGTAATAATCAACATTTTTCGCTTAAAGTATATCAATCATAAATTTATGTCAATATTAGAGGCATACATGCTTAATCACTTTATGCATGATTCAAGATTGACATTTTATAAACTTATTGCAAGATAATAATATAAAAGGAAGAGAATAAGACAGGCGAGGAAGAATAGAAAACACACATATATGACATTCAGACAATCCGCCTACAACCATGGACCAAATGCACAAAGGACTACATCTCTTATTGTAGTTCATCCATCATATTTGCATAGAAACCCAGCTTTTATAAGGGGTGACAAAAAAAATAAGTGTTAAATACAAGATTCTGAATCTTAGAAATCACGCAAATTAACCCAATCAATGAGTTAAAATAAGTAAATTATCTCTAAAATCTTTCTAAATGGAGGTTAAGGTTGGTTTGATCAACTCATATGTTCAACAGAAAGGCTATCCCTTTTTTTTTTTAATCCATTTGATCTAATAGTGTCGAGGGATTAGTGCAGGTGACAAAAAAATGTCCAAAGTTGAAACTAAATGAAAGGAAACAAACTCGGAAAAAACCATTAAACTTTGAAATAAAATCATAAAATACAATAAAAAATCCTGACAAGACCAAATTCTCCATAACAACAGAAGTCAAATCAAAAGCTTAGAACACTAGTCCACTACACAATCATACCATTTCCTTTTTCATTTTTTTCGAGAAAAATAAAGAAAAAAGTTATTATGACACAAGATGTGGGAGAAAAAAATGTAGTATAACAGTTCATGTTAAAAGGTCACTGAATCTGTGAAAACACCCACAACACTGGGATCAACCAGAGCAAGTTTCAGAAATAAAACTCATCCCTCAGAATTTTACAATAAACACAGTTTCTTACCAGCATAAAAAGTTCTTCTGCGCCATTAAATAGAAATATAATGGGTCGAGGAGGAATCCATCCAGAATCAACAGTGAGCCGGGCTATTTCCAGCATTGATGCTGCAAAAGAGGACACGATACAATCAAGGGAAACATAACTACTTAGATGCATCTAAAAATGTAAAAGTTACTTATGAAACCCACCAACACATGAGCCACAATCACCAGCGCCCGGAGAACCAGGTGGAGCATCAAAATGGCCATTCAACAAAAATGATGGGTCAGTGTCATGTGAATCTATTGATGAAATCCTGTAACTCAGAGTCAAGATAATTCAATGTCATTTACTGAAAAAAATTGGCAGTTTGGGTTTGAAAGAGAAATTTTTCACTGCTTCAGTTTTGGATGGTAACGGTGTGACTTATCTATTACTTTTTGTTGTGCAAGAGGGAAACTTGGTATCTCCCCACTGTCTTAAAAATTTCCATAACCATCACTCCATCCCCCCCCCCCCCAAAAAAAAAATATATATATATATATATATAGATATATTTTATTGCTACAGTTTCATTTTTCTTACAACAAACTTTTACACGTGCGCACACATCATGTTTGCCACACATTCTAGAATTTAGGTATCAATCAGGAAGACAACATAGTAAATGCATCCTGGCTCGCCAGTAATTTGGGAAGTCATGAAGTATCACCTAGAACCTAATTTGCAAGGCTAAATTTTATCTGATATTCTGGTTTCACTTTCTTGTTGCCTTTGTATTCATGTGCCCTTTCTCTCCCTCACACAAGCTCTAATAGAGGCCTCAACAGCTCATCATTAGAAGAACAAGAAACTTGGTGCAACACCTGGACTCCCAAAGTCCCTGGAAATTTCATACAATATACTAAATTCGCATGAAAAAGTACAATGTCCAACTTAAACCCAAATAGGATACCTCATGACAATGTTTGTATGATTTCTATATGCCAGAGACAGACTATGGCCTAGAAACAACATGGTGAAGGAGCCATTAATGATGTTTTCCTCTATCTCAATCCTGAAATTATACAAGTTCAAAAAATAATTAAAATGAAATCAACATAATTTCGTACAACTCTAACTTTACTCACATATTGCATATCTTTAAAATATAAAACCAACTACCGACCTAAGATTGGGTCCAGCTTGCTCCTTCATCTTTTCCAACTGCGTTTTGATATATTCAGCAGCTTCTCTTAAACCTTGACGCCCTACCTATCAATATATAGGTATTGGAATTAAACATAATCAAGAAAAAGCAATGGACGTATATCCTATACTCATCAACTAGCTTTCACTCAGTTATGTCACCCAGAAAAATTGAACTAGGGATAAGAAACAAGATATGAATCGCATGAAAGAACGCAAAGTTAAGCGAATTTTCGTCGTCTCAGACACTCGATATTCAGAATTCTGACTTCCACAAATTCTCAGCAACCCAACAGAGAATAATTAATCGAGCACATTCAACTGAATTAAATCAAACACAATCCAAGCTCAAACATGACCAATTGGAACAACATACATGGCATATACCATATGTGTGCCTATAACTACATTCATTATTGGTGTTGAAAGAGAAACGTATGTAAAATCTTTCTAACCTGGCGACCATCGATCTCCTTGGACAACACTCGGACATGCTCGACGGCTCTGGATTCCGAAAATCGATCGAGAGGCGCATCGAGGCCGAGAGGTGTGATGAACTTCATGTGAATGACGGAGTAGGCTATAATCGACATGAGACCGTAAAGAATCGCCAAACAAAACAGTACTTTGAAGCCAGCGACATCTCCGGAACTTAACCTGAACGCCATTTTTTAGAAACTCCAGCGTCGGTCCCTTTGAATCTAAATTAACGCAGATAGGTTATGAATGAGACTAAAAGGCGTCTTATTATATATTATCGATTGATCCTATCTAGGGAAGGAAGGGGAGAGAGAGAGAGAGAGGAGAGGGGGGGTGTTGAAGTTCAAAAGCACCAACCTGAGCGCATCGGAAGATGCTGGTACTTGTCTGCAGAGGCAATGAGACACGAGAGCTTATAAGAGAAGTTTAAAAATGTGTCCCACGTCGTTTAGATTTTCTTTGTACTACATTAATTGACACCTGTTTTGGCCCTCTGCCTTCAGATTGATGATGCCCCTCCTGACGTTGATTTCTTTTTGAAAAATGTTATATCCAAATAAAATGTAAAAAATATAATTTAAATATATATTATTTTTTGGACAAGTATTAGATAAGTGGATTCCACTCAAAAAATTGATGATACTCATTCATCGAAAGAATAATATGTATTTAAATTATAAGTTTTTAAGTTTCGTTTGAATTATATAACATTATTACTCATTCTAATAATGCACATTTGGGTTCAAATAATTTAACTTTAAAGTTCAACTTCTTCTATTTTTTTACTAAATTTTGTTAGAAATTTGTGCATTTCTAACTTAATTCTATGACTCTGTAAAAATTTTATAGATTTTTTTTAAGAACTTGATGAATATAGAATTGATTATTAAGATATGAAATTTAATTTCTATTGAAAAAATTTGTTGAGATTCTACGTATGAATTTATCTCAAAATCTCAAGTTTCTATCAAGACAAACTTGAATTAACCTCTAAACTTGATTCTAGAATTCGACTCCAACTTTANTATTATTAAGATATGAAATTTAATTTCTATTGAAAAAATTTGTTGAGATTCTACGTATGAATTTATCTCAAAATCTCGCAAGTTTCTATCAAGACAAACTTGAATTAACCTCTAAACTTGATTCTAGAATTCGACTCCAACTTTAGTTCCACCAATCTCAATCAAACTAAGTTCAAGTATACTCAAATCGCACCAGTTTAACAACGTTGTTTAAATCCAAGACTTATCTGATTTTTTGTAGTTAGTAGAATGATCTAAAGTCCCACGTTTAACAGGATATAAATCTTCTTTATTATTTTTTTGCATAATTTTTATTTAATGATAAATCGTTCACTGTGAATAAATAAAGGGTTCATGTATAAATAATAGGTCCCACATGAATACATGACGGATAATATACTATTAAATGAAATTATGTGAAAAAAATTATAGAAAATATTTCAATCCCATTTTTAACAATGCATTCATTTGTATTTCCTTGNTATAAATAAAGGGTTCATATATAAATAATAGGTCTCACATGAATACATGACGGATAATATACTATTAAATGAAATTATGTGAAAAAAATTATAGAAAATATTTCAATCCCATTTTTAACAATGCATTCATTTGTATTTCCTTGCGGGTGGATAATTGGGTGTGAACATAGCCATGTGTATAGATATAAATAATGGGTCATAAAAAAATATATAATGGATGAAATGCTATTGAATGAAATTATGTAAAAAAAGTATTAGGCACGATTTCAATCCCATTTTTAACAATGCATTCATTTGTATTTCCTTGCAGGTGGATAATTGGGTGTGAACGTAGCCATCTGGTTTCATAAAGAGTNAGGGGTTCACGTATAAATAATGGGTCATAAAAAAATATATAATGGATGAAATGCTATTGAATGAAATTATGTAAAAAAAGTATTAGGCACGATTTCAATCCCATTTTTAACAATGCATTCATTTGTATTTCCTTGCAGGTGGATAATTGGGTGTGAACGTAGCCATCTGGTTTCATAAAGAGTCTCTTATTTGGCAACGAATTTTATTTTTTCTTTCCATACAATATTTAGCTTTCAATGCGGTATTTGGAAAAATACTTTTAATACAACAAAGCGTACTTTGCAAAGACAGATTTGGATTCAGTAGACTTCAGAATTATGCATGGTGTTGGAGGTGAGGGTGTTAATCGATCAAAGTTTTGAGAGTTTGAGTTTAATGTTGGTGAACTTGTTTTTTTAAGCAAATTTTAAAAATTATTTAAACTCGGCTCGAGTTCTGAGTCTAAAACTGGTGAACTTGTTTTTCTAAACAAATCTTAAATAATTGATTAAGTTTGACTCGTTTAGAATTAGAGCTGAACCCGAGCCTAAACCAAACTCGAACTAAGTTGGAATAGTTTAATTATTTTATATATAAACGAGTTAAACTTTTACGAGCTCAAATCGAGTCTTAACGCATGTTTTTTTTAAAGAACTTAAAAATTTATTTAAGCTTAACTCTTTTAGAACACGAGTCGAACTCGAGCTCGAGTCAAACTCAAATTAAGCTCGACTATTTTACATATAAACGAATTAAATTTTTTAGGCCCGTTCATATAAACGAATTTAAAAAATTATTCAAGCGTAGCTCGATCGTTTAGAATATAAGTCGACTCGAGTTGAATTTTGAATTGAACATTTGTCAAGTCTAAATACCTCGTCTTAGTTAACACCCTATGAAAAACATAATTGTAGGGATTTAAATTGTGAAAGAAAAGAGAACCCTCAAAAAAAAAAAAAAAATCCAAACAAAAAAAAAGTATTACTTTGCCGCCACGCCACCCTCCTCTCTTTTCCAAAAAAGCCATAATAGTGAAATTATGCTGGCCTCATGAATTATCATTGGAATTTCTAACTAAACACGTTACAGGCAATAGGCGGCGAGATACTTATCCGTATCCTCTCTAGTTGCTCTTTACTCTATCTATATGTACAAGTTTTCTTTCTTGGCTTTCTTTAGGTGTTGCCTCCTTGTGCAATGAAAATACATTATATTGTAATTTTTATATTCTGTCTGGGAAGAAGGATTAAAAATATGAGAGGTATATTTTTTATTTTTCAAGAAAGGAGAATAAGAATGAAACACTTTTCTTTCTTTGTGTTTGATAGGATGGATAAAAAATAAAAATAATTAATTTTTTTTTTTGTTTGGTTAGATGAAATTTTTTTTTTTAAAAAAAAAGTATAAATACATATTTTATTATTATATTTATATATTGAATTAATATATACATAATATATGTATATATCAAAAGATATATAGACAAATAAGATATATTTCAATATAAATAATTAATTTTTCATCTACTTTCCTTCTAATTTTGGAGGGATTGATTTGGTGAGTAGGAAAGAAAGCTCATTCATCTATTTTTCTATGTTTCTTATTTTATTTCCTTATCAAACATGATGGTTTTTTTATCTATCTCTCTAACTTTCTATCATTCTAATTTTTTATCCTTCTATTTTTCCATCGTACGAAACGGAGCATTAAAGAATAGTTCATGTGATAACAAGAATGAACTATAAATTCAAATGTTTTAAATTCGAATCTTAATAACTTTTTAGAGTCAGACCATGAGAAAATTATTCCTCACGAATATCCTAGTATTAACGTGAATGATCTGTCTTTAATCGGACCGAAAAGAAAATTAGTCAAGGTGCGAGTAAATTGATCTGAATACCTCTAACTATTAAATAAATAAATAAAAAGAAGGGAATACACTATAATGTTGAATTTCTCATGAATGTTACAAGGAAACTTGCCTCAGGGCCACATCCATGCCATTGGGGTAGGGTGACAACCCCCCGCACCTACCAAAAAACCTGAATACCCAACAAGCTCAACAAAGCAAATGAGCCCTCTATGGTTGTATCCTGCTATTCCTAATTGGGTCATCTAGATAGTATACCATACAATGGCCCATATTTCTCACTACTTAACCTAGCTAGTTGCACCGCTCACTTTCTTATAATGCCTCAAAATAATAAACACCTACTCACTCTCACACCACCCCCCACCCCGAAATATCCACATACAAATCTAATCTCACAAGATGCATATATGGGCCAAATAAGGTTAATCATTGCCCTGAAGATTTATAAAAACCTCTTATATTTCATTGTTATGAATACCAAAATTGGATATGTTTGTATCTATTTTTCCAATGATTCAAAATAACGTCCTTGTATATATCGTTTTGCTTTTAAAATAAATTTTTAGATCCATTTCTGTTCAAAATGATTTAGATTGGCGCTTGTTGCATTTACAGGCCAGCCCAATAGTATTAAAAAAAATGGGGTTTTAGGTCTCAAATTTTTAGAAAGCCCCATAATTTTAAGTACATAACTAGTTCACATAAAAAATTTAAATTCATAAAACAAAAAGTATAAGCCCAATTAAAAAATTATAATTTCATTAATTTGAGCGTACAATTTAATCCATAGTATTAGAAACTCAAAAATAAAAATTTTTAAAAACAAATAAAAAAATATTCAAAAGTCAACTCATATTTACTCACATTTATTCTCTCTCTCTCTCTTAAAAAACAAAAATAAAGTATCATATTCTCCTCTCTCACTTAAAACAAATTTAAAATATTTTTTATTTTTTAAAATAATACTAAAAATAAAAAATCCTCATTTAGTATTACCTTTAGGCCTAAAATTACTTTGAGCCACCCCTATGCATTTATTAGGGAATAATAAAAAATATTATTTGTATCTAATTTAAGAACCTAAGAAAAATTAATTAATAACAACCGTTTGATTAAAAATAAATTTCACCAAAAATTAATACTACCCTGTTTATCCAATGAATTCAATATTAAGTCCTTCTAGTATTGGTAGGAAATAAGTTTGAGTAGGGGTTGCAATAGTGTTCTATGGGTGTAACTCGTATTTCGTATTATTCGTGTCAAGTCTTACGAAAAAAAATTTATTTAGTGTGTTTTGAATATTAAACATTAATTTATATTATTTATTATACATATTTAATAATTATGTCAATTTTATAATCATATGTATTAATGTGTCAAAATTGGCAGTCCTAAATTTGAATATTTATGTGCCACGTGGCATAATGATCATCGGGACCCAAGTAGGGGTGTCAATCGTGTCGGGTTAAACGGTTACGTATCAGGTTAAATGAGAGATAGGTGAAAAGCGTATAAACTCATACACGACACGTTTAATAAACGGATAAAAAATTTCAACACGAACACGACCCATTTAATAAAAGAGTAACACGATATGACTCGTTTAACCCATTTAATTTTAAAAAAATTATATCAACAAATTTTAATACTCCATTTTTTTTTACCACTAATTGCACTTACCTTAAAAAAAAAGAATTTTAAATCAAATCTCATAAAAATAAGACTTGAAGGCTTTTAAAAAAAAGCAAGAAGCTATTGTCTTTTATAAACAACTCACCCTCCTCATCTCCCTTATTTTTTAATGTGGGACAAAAATAAAAGACATTAGTTTGCCTTTGTCTTTGAAGTGCTCTACAACTCCTCTCATTTGTCTTTGAAAAATAAGACTTGAAGGCATTAAAAATAAAAACAAGAGGTCATTGTCATTTATAGGCAACTTAACCCTCTGTATCTCTCCTCATTTTTTAATGTAGGACAAAAACAAAAGACATTTGTTTGTCTTTGCCTTTAAAGTGTTGTCCACCACTTCTCCTTTGTCTTTGACCTATTATTTTACTTTTTTTTTTATTGATTTTTTTAATTCTTTTTTCTTGCTAATTTTTTAAAATAATTATTAATTTATTATTATATTAATTTTATTTAATAAACGTGTGATAAACGGTTTGATAGGTCTCACCCGAATATGACCTGTTTATTAAAAGTGTTTGACGTGTCAACCCGTTTATCACCCAAATCTGATAAAATCTCACCCAAATTCATTTAATTCGTATCAATTAACCGTATCGTATCGAATTTTGACAGTCCTAGACACGAAGTAGCAGCGTGGGTAACACGCATGATAACTTGTTGGGCCTTTGCCACACTAGAAGCCTCACAAATTCACAATCCGTCCCATACCATTTGAGTCTCATCCACATGGCAGTCTGTCTTTAACTTTAGCCTACTCATGACAACGACGATAAGTACATACATTATACATAACAGTAAAGTAGTGGTATCTACTTCCAAAGGCTAATGCTTTCTCAATAGTAGGTTTTTGTACCAGGCGGTAATAGAGTTCGACGTCCCACACGATTCTTACTCTCAAATCCAGAGCGTGGTTTCAATTTCCCACTAGCCAACCAAATTTATTTATTTATTTATTTAATTTTAGTCTAACGGTAACACTACGTTGTTATTATTATTATACAGTGTTATAATCTAATAAAAAAAATAATAAATAAACAGATAGATGTTATGTATTATAATAACTATCCTATCTTGTCATTTAATAACAATTTTATTTATAAATTTATTATTAAATAGTAACACTATATGTTAATGATAACATGATATGACTATTACACTTAATATTTTATGTGATTGATTTCATCCTCGTAATGGTCTTGATTTTAAATTTTGGTGTGAATTAACTTGATTCGATTAGTTATTCCATTCAAATTAAGATAGATTAATAAGATAGGAATTTATAATATCATTTTTTAAATGTGAAAAAAAATTGGATAATAATTATTAACTCTGGACTACTTTTATCATGCATAGAATTCAAAATTTTATTTCACATAAAAAAATAAATTACAAATAATGAATGTTATTCGTGATTGAAAATGATTTTATGATCGATAATAAATAATTTTACTTACTCGTAATATAATTTTAAAAAAAAATTAATTTAACCTCCAAAATGTGTAATTTCTATTCGGTATCTCAATTTGTTGTTCACAGCCCCTATAAGAGAGTGGTGTCAGGCTATTTGTAGTTCCATATGGTTGAATTTCCCATTTGAATATATCTGGGAGTTGGAGTCGGAGAGCCGGCTGCCATGTGGAGACTGCAGACTGTTGTGGACTTATTGTCCTCGTGCATACATAAATGATTGTTGTAGAGTGCTCCCAGTCCAAAACATATAGGCCAGACATGTTCATTTTGGGCTGCCCTTTACTTTTCTTGTAATGTCCCATGTGTCCTCCTATTTCTAATTTGTTTTTTTCTTTTATATTCTTGATACCGGTATGATCTTTTTATTCCTGTGGAGATTGGACGGGTTGAAAGATCACTAAAAACATAACTCAAATTATAAAAGCTCGAGTTTAACCTTAATTTGAATTCAATTTGTAACCTTTTAGAATCAAATTTAATTAAGGTTGAACCCAACTTGGAGGGTTATGCAAGTTGAATTAGAATTTAAATTTAACTTGAATTTGGTGATTTAGTTGGGTTTAAGTTGGATTTTTGAGAACTTGAGATCTTAACCTTAATATTGTCTAAGTTTAAATCGGATTAGAGTTTATTTTTTATTTTATTTATTTAGTGCGGTCAACTTCCATTGTTGATTTCAATTAGATGTGCCTTGTGATATATCACATGCAAGGGGCTATAATAATCTCCTCAGTGATGAAAATATACCCAATGTTCCTTCACTAGAGAGACCAAATCTTATGTATCAAAAAAAAAAAAAAAAACGAGAGACCAAATCTTATCTATAAATCCACTCAAACCAAGCAAAGTGATGCAACAAGATAATGGTATTAGAGTTGCATGTAATATTAAATTGATAGATCTTCTACACATTTATATCAAAAGAACATAAGAACATAACATATTCAGAATAATTTAATTTCACAATAAAAACAAGAGTATAGATTTTAATATACAAAAAAAAAAAAAAGAATATGTAATAACATGTTTCATTATCAATTTAAACGCTAATAATTAATTCAACCATATGAATATAAATTGAAAATTTTTCAATTTAAAGCTCCATATTATCAAAACAAGAAAAAAGAGATAAGAGTGAGAGAGAATAAATACTCGAAGAACTAAAATTAAATTTAGTTAATATTTTCAATCACTCTATTGGGATAAGGATTATTATTGTAATTTATGCAATGAATTTTGCATTGGACTTCCCTTGGGTGAAAGAAAATATTAAACGGTTATAACATAGGACACTGTTAACATAATGTAACCGTTACATTAAATATTTATTTTCTACAATGAGTTTTTTTTAGCCTCTGAAAAATTATGAATTTCACGTGGTACTAACATATTAGTCATTAGTATAATAAGTAGGGGTATTTTCGTCCTTGAACGCCATAAACTTCTGTGCTGCGTAAAATTTACAAAGAGCCGCGAACGAAACAAACTACGAGTCACACTCTCTCATTCTCTCCGTGTTTATGCTGTTGCTAACCGTAAGGGAACGAATTGGTAGAGATTGGAGCAAGAGGTCACTTTTTTCCGAGTTGAAATGAGCGTTGAGCGAACTCAGGGAAGCTGCTTGGCAATCCGTACTCTCCCTCCGTTATCGATCTCCAGATGCTCTCACTCTTCTGTTTCTTTAGGTACTCTCTCTCTCCCCCTCCCTGTATGCTATACTCACGTTACCGACGTCTATAGATATATCTATGTACAGTAAATTATGATTGTATGTTCATGAATGCGTGAGATCGACAGACTTTATGTTTGCAATCTTTAGATTCATTCAACACCTTCTTCGATTCGATTATTTGTTATCCGAGGAAGTATAAAGCATTGGAAACCGATCACTTGTGAGTCCTGATTGTGGATACAGAATTGCCTAATACTGCGATGTTCGTTCAGATTCAGCATTGCTTGTTTGGTATCGGAGCTGATATTTTTTTTTTATTATTTTGTTCTCACTTTCGGTATTTTTTCCGATTTTTGCTCGGAGGTTTGGTGTTCATTTAAGAAATATAGCGATTTAGACTGCATATTTGATTAATTGTTGGTGTCATTGGTCTCTTTGTTATTCTAAGCTATTACCCTTTTTTACCAGGAATTCACGAGCTTTATTACTTTTTTTGGGATTGATTATAACCGTCATGTTGTCATTTTTTTTATATGTTTCCAGCATTTGGATAACATCTGGTTCTAATTTAAAATACACTTCAACATACCTAAGAGGTCCGAATTCATATTTCAACAATATTTTTTTGACATCACCATGATTAATAGCTTTTTTCCTTTGGATTACTTGCGAGTGAAAGATAATGAGTGTTCAGTATTCGACTGACTTGAGCGTGTTGTACTGTTACCAACAAGCCTACCAACTAAGACACCTCACATCTTCATTTTCAAAGCAGACTGTGTGGGTATTTGACAAGGACACAAAGCATTCGCTGTCTCATTTGCTGTTGGATTGGCGGAACGTAGATTTTTTTGCATAATAGAATGTGTAATGTATAAGTTCACCTTAGCAAGCAATGAGATCATACAGTTTCCAGTCAAGGGAAAAATTTCTCTGTGGTGGTAGTTAGGCCTTGTTACGTCACCTATATATGATAGGAACCCAATCTATCTCTCTCAGACCCCATTAATGGGGACTGCACTTGCTGTTAGGCTATTAATTAAACAACCCTTGAGTTTTGGAAAAGGCATCATTATTCCCTTAAAACTTTGGAATGGGCTAATTTTGAGTTTTTTTGCTATGAACATTCTGTTTCAGTTGACATTGTCCACTTAAAAGACCTATAGCAATTGATTTTGGAGACGTCTGCTTGCTATGAATATCATTTGGAATGTTACTTCCCTTGATATTAGCTGCCTTACAGATCTCCTGGGTTACAATGAGAGAAGGTTGGAACACTCCATATAGACAGATATAGTGCCTTTGGAGACTAAATATGCATAAAAATCATTTGATGGGGGCAGATTGAACCTTTAATTTCCAGACATTTGCTGCTATGTTTCTATCCAAGCCATACATAGATGTTTTTTTTGGTAAACTAGGTTGATATATTACAAACTACCCAAATGGCTGCCAAATTACACTTCTAAAATTATAAGAGTTAAATTTTTTACTCCTTGTAGTTATGCAAATCCCTTCTTTTAGTTGTCATATCTTTCATCTGCCAGTGTAGTTGAAGCATTTGAATAACTATACTGTTCCGTGATCTAGACCATCTTTTAGTGATTGGATATAGTTTTTAGTTAAATGTAATCAAATNGTCTTTCATCTGCCAGTGTAGTTGAAGCATTTGAATAACTATACTGTTCTGTGATCTAGACCATCTTTTAGTGATTGGATATAGTTTTTAGTTAAATGTAATCAAATAATATAAAAAAATGTGAGAGTGGATGCTTCATTGTTGCTTAGGTAGCTTCACTCAAAACATGGTACCAATTGAGCCCAAGCAAACTCATTTTCATGGATACGGGCATACAAGCATCTGACAGAATCCCATGATTCTCAAGTTGTTTAAATTTGAACATTATATCTTGCAACTCCTCTATGGGCTGCCCGTGCAGATGCGAGGACTTACCACTTATCACAATCATCTGTGCGAGTTTTCTGCTTTCTTGGGACGCCATGAGAAACACTCCCAGTTGTGTGAAGCTTTGTTGTTGACTGTGGGGATTGGATCAACCATAATGTGTTTCTGTTACATATCATTCACAAGTAAATGTCTGAATCACAAAGGAATTTGCATATATTTCAGTGGAAACTTTCTCGTACAATAAGTAATTTGTTTAACCCGAATGGTTGCATGGGATTTTATGACCATTCCCAACCATACATTGAGGTAATTTTTCTCTGCACCAAAATGTTCCTACACGAACATTGAAGTCATCTTCATGAAAGGTTGCACTGGACCTTGATCATCAGGTGCAGGTGGTCCTCACACTCATGAATTTTGGATCAGAATAAGGGCAACTGTTTCTCACTAAAAAATTTGCTTTACCCATTTAAAAATAATGTATGTTGTGGCAGTTCAACAGTTCTTTTCCTAGTCTCTGTTTAAACTGTCCTGAAAATTGACTCTATTGAAGGTAGGTCGATAGTCCTAAACTAAGGCAGAAGTCTGCTAATTCTCTGCAGATAATGCAAGTTGCGGGTCGCCAACGTGGATGGGGAAGGGCCTTACTTGTGTTTGCTTCAAGCGAAAGGGAACTTATGAACGGGTCTACATTAATTTGACACCCCTACAGGCAAGTACAACAACAATCACTTCACTAAGTAGGAGGAAAAATACACCGCTGCTCATATGCATATATTATACTCATCTTATTAGTAAAGCTAAGTCCCCATTGTTTGACCTTGTTTCTTCTGGTAGTCAAAGTCAGATCTCTTGTCAAAATGTTGAGATCCCTTTAGGTTCTGTTTTGTTCGGCAGATCAATTCTTCGTGTTGTTCCAATAATACACTTACATCACATCTGGCAATGGCATATGTGGATTCGTTAAAGAACCACATGATTCATATTTTTGAGCCAGAGTTTTGAAAGATCAAAATGATGTGCAATGATTTTCAATAGATTTATCATTTTTGTGCCTATATTTGATCATTGTCCCTTTGCTAATGGCTTTCTTTTGCCTATATTTGACATTTGGCCTTTCCATTCTAAGACATTCCCAAATGAATCTGTGGTGGCAACATGTTAAGGAAGATTTGAGTCATTTTGTATTAATTTGTCCTGATAACTATATTATCCGTTATATATTTTGTTTGACCAATTGTAGGAAGAGAGACAGAGAAGGTTGAAACACCGGATGAAGGTTCACTTTGATGCCTCCAGGCCAGACCATCAGGTGTGTTTTCTGTTCAAGACTTTGATGCGTGAGCATCATATAATCATGGTGATATTTCATCATATTCAACGTGACACTTAGAGAATNCTCCAGGCCAGACCATCAGGTGTGTTTTCTGTTCAAGACTTTGATGCATGAGCATCATATAATCATGGTGATATTTCATCATATTCAACGTGACACTTAGAGAATCAACAACTGAAAGGAATTTATTAGAGAAAAACAAGGGTTCATGGTATAATTGGCACTTCTGTTAAATGATGATTGCACTCATTATAAAATTTTTACAATGACAGGAAGCTTTGAGAGCTCTCTGGTCTGCTACATACCCCGATCAGGAGCTACATGGTTTGGTATCTGATCAATGGAAAGAAATGGGATGGCAGGGAAGAGATCCATCAACAGATTTCAGGTTTTTCTCTGACTTCATCATCTGCAGTATGGTTGTTTTATTTTCACTCTATCATATTTTTGCCTACTTTTTCCTTATCAGTTGATCTTGATGGTGTTACCTGTTGAGCAGAGGAGCGGGATTCATTTCTTTGGAGAACTTGTTATTTTTTGCCAAGACATTTTCTGTAAGTTTTTGATCTGGCTGCTTTATTGGGAAATGAGAGTTGTACATATGATTTTCTTACAAATCCTATTTATGAATTTTTAAGGCCATTATTTTATCGGGTTTCAAAACATTTACCATGAATGCTCTTCATTGCCTCAAAAACTATTCTATGAGTGGGAGTTACTCAGATAATTGGTGCTCAAGTCTTTTTGGGTATTGGCTGATAATTAGCTACTGTATGACTTGTTCAAGAACATTTTGTGTTTGTCTGATGTTACTTACTTGATTGTTGACACAGACGTCTTTTCAGCATCTACTGAATAAGCAAGGGGGGAAGCAAGTCGCTTGGGGGTATCCATTTGCTGTTGCTGGTGTAAATATCACATTCATGATCATGCAAATGCTTGATCTAGACGCCAGTAAGGACAAAATACCTCTCGTTCAGAGTTGGGCATATTTGTTCCAATTACCACAATTAGACTCTTTGGCTCTAGGTCACTGGCTAAAATTAAGACATATTTTCCTGGCAGAAGAAGATGAATGGAACCCAATGCGCTTACTTTTCTGAGGATTTTTTTTGGCTCTTTTGCGTTTAATCTTATACAAGCCACTTCATTATTTGCAGCAAAACCCCGGACATTTGTCAGAGCAGTTTTCCTACAGATGCTGTCAGGTAAGTTGTCTCCAAATCAACACTTGTTATGTAGAGCCCTAGTTGCTACCTTCTCAAATATTTGAAAAGGAATCTTTACAATAATTTTGAATTTTTGATATAAAGCATTGTATTATCTGATGATAGTGTGAGATCTTCAGAGTTTTTGATGCTCATTTCCATTTATGCTTCACCAATACCCAAAAAGTTGGGGCATTTTAACACCTTATACTCTCATTAAAAAAGGATTTCAGGGTTTTGAAATTAAATACAACTCTTGGTGCACTTTCAGAGAATGAGTGGACCTTTGACTTGCTTTACTGCATTGCGTTCGTGGTTATGGACAAACAGTGGCTGGAGAGGAATGCAACTTACATGGAGTTCAATGTGAGCACAACTTGTTTGTCCTTATTATTCATCACCATGAATATTGTATTATTCATATATTGAAGGATATCCATCTCTTCTTGACATAATCTCCCGGTCATTGGGGCCAACGTCACAGTTTGACCTAGAACTTATGAGTTGCATGCATGCTCGTCTACCAGGTTTGCTTTTTTTTTTTTAACCTTTGCTTGGTACTAATGAAATTATATGGCTTTCATAGGATGTTCTGAAATCCACTCGGTCTCAGCTGGAGAAGGAACTTCTAATGGATGATGTCCTAAGGATAGAAGACATGCCTTCTTATAGCCTTCTCTGTTAATGACAGCCAACTTGAAAAGTTGCAGATGGGGATTCTTAGAATGGATGCATCCCACATCCCAAATTTAGATGACTTTAGAATGTACAATCTCTCCCCTCTCCAAGGGAACTGAAAATCATAGCCTCGTTCAATACATGTCTGCTTCCAAATTTTTATCTTTCCAACCCTACGGATTTAATTTTTTTTTGGCAGCGGGGGGCCGCTGGGAACAATGATATTAATAAGTTTAAAATTTTCAGGAGATAGTCTTTTACTTGTTACTTCAACTTGTGAATCGTTTTNGGCGGGGGGCTGCTGGGAACAATGATATTAATAAGTTTAAAATTTTCAGGAGATAGTCTTTTACTTGTTACTTCAACTTGTGAATCTTTTTTGGTGTTAATACCTATAATTAATCTGACATCTAACTACTCCATACATGAGAACAAGTTTGGTTTCTAGCACCATTCGAACAGGAGTGTGCCATNAGCGGGGGGCCGCTGGGAACAATGATATTAATAAGTTTAAAATTTTCAGGAGATAGTCTTTTACTTGTTACTTCAACTTGTGAATCGTTTTGGTGTTAATACCTATAATTAATCTGACATCTAACAACTCCATACATGAGAACAAGTTTGGTTTCTAGCACCATTCGAACAGGAGTGTGCCATGCCAATAGTTATGTTTCACTAAATCGTGTTAACATATTTACTTAACAAATAAAAAAAATATATTTATTTAAANCCTATAATTAATCTGACATCTAACTACTCCATACATGAGAACAAGTTTGGTTTCTAGCACCATTCGAACAGGAGTGTGCCATGCCAATAGTTATGTTTCACTAAATCGTGTTAACATATTTACTTAACAAATAAAAAAAAAATATTTATTTAAAGCTCAAATCGATTAATTTCACATCAATATTGTGTCAAATTCACAAGACTTGTTTCAATATTTTAATTATCAAGTCTACTTACAGGGTAAAACTGCATACTCATTTTCTCCTAATACATTTTTGATATTTTTCACTACAATTCGGGTGGGTGGACAAAACGGAGCCCCATCAACCCAGAGATTCAAAGTGTACGCANTATATTTATTTAAAACTCAAATCGATTAATTTCGTATCAATATTGTGTCAAATTCACAAGACTTGTTTCAATATTTTAATTATCAAGTCTACTTACAGGGTAAAACTGCATACTCATTTTCTCCTAATACATTTTTGATATTTTTCACTACAATTCGGGTGGGTGGACAAAACGGAGCCCCATCAACCCAGAGATTCAAAGTGTACGCAAACCCTAATGCGACTTGTTGGCCGCTGGTGGTTACAAATTTCATCAGTCTGTCTAATTCGGATGCCACTCGACTAATTCTGTACAATCAGGTCCTCTTTTGGATATTCAGCACAAAATGGATAGCTAGGTCTGCCAGAACATTCTACAGCTTTCAAGACGGACTCGAGCCTAACTTTTATTATTTAGTTCTATTCTATGTCCATGGTGGTGCAGCCAATGGTGAGAATCTGGGGGAGGTTGGTTTCTGTNAACATTCTATAGCTTTCAAGACGGACTCGAGCCTAACTTTTATTATTTAGTTCTATTCTATGTCCATGGTGGTGCAGCCAATGGTGAGAATCTGGGAGAGGTTGGTTTCTGTAAACTAACAATTGAAAAGCTATGGCAAAAGTGGGAAAATTTGGACCATTTCTCANCATTCTACAGCTTTCAAGACGGACTCGAGCCTAACTTTTATTATTTAGTTCTATTCTATGTCCATGGTGGTGCAGCCAATGGTGAGAATCTGGGAGAGGTTGGTTTCTGTAAACTAACAATTGAAAAGCTATGGCAAAAGTGGGAAAATTTGGACCATTTCTCAAATTCTTCGTCATCCTATAATAAGAGACATGTTAATCATCGTTCCAATTATATCAGAGACACTCCGTGTTTTAGTATCGAATTGATTGTTACTTGTTGAGTGCACTATCATCTTACTACAAGCAAACACTGGGAGAAAAAGGCAAACNGTAAGAGACATATTAATCATCGTTCCAATTATATCAGAGACACTCCGTGTTTTAGTATCCAATTGATTGTTACTTGTTGAGTGCACTATCATCTTACTACAAGCAAACACTGGGAGAAAAAGGCAAACAATGTTTGAACATGATGCGAACAATCTTAATTAAGGCGTATCTATATACCATGATTTTGCTCTTGACAGTCTTATTCAATGTTTTAATCTCGTTGGGCCTTGCTTACCACAAAATAAGATAGCAGGAGATAATACTAAGCAATTCGAATAGAAAGAAAGTCAAAAAGAGGTGAAATATCACCTCACCACCCAATCTTCTTTAAGAGGCTTTTCGATGAAAAGGACTGCTCAATTTTAGAAATATTAATAGAAAGGTGGACAAGGTGCAAGGTTATGTTGAAGATAAGACAAGGTTAATCATATGATCATTATGTCGGATGAAATTTTAGCTCAAACCTATAATAAATGAACAATTAGAAAATTCTTCTTTTTTGCTTTTTAGAGTAGAATATACCCACATGGACATTACGAACATAAAAAAACAATGACAACCTATCAAGATATACAAATCTAGCAAGGTGGGATATGTTAGGTTGGGCCAGATTCAACAACAAAAAGGCCATATTGGAAGAGAAATTATCATCTTTATAGTCATCATAATTCAAGTAAGAAAAATTATGGAAGTCAGTTGACTGGAGGGCAATCACCAAGCGATATGGTCAGGACTTGGCTAATCACAAAAGAATGCAGAAAGGTTAGATCAGTGATCACATATGCCCTCGATTTCATGACCAGGAACAATTAACGAAAACTTACCCATTGCAATATGAACTAGAATTACCCAGATTTTTAAACAAGGCAAATCATGTGATACACTATTATAGTTACGCACATTTTTCATTTTCTTTTTTCTGGGCATAGATTGCTTGGGAATCAAGTTCTGTTAAAGCCTTAAAGGGTTTACATGGCATAAAAATAATGAAACCCATAAAAAAACGATGTGAATCATGTGATAGCTAAAGAGGCACTTTCATATATATAGGAATTCAAAATATTAAAAGAGGGAAGGAATGAACCTGGAGGATCAAAGAAATGGGGTATCCTTCAATCCAAAGCTTCACTACCACCTACCTGTGCAGCCTTATCTTTTAAGCAAAAATTGACACCCACGGTCCCCAACCATCATTCTCCTGCCAGTCTTTCTCATCTCATATTAACCTCTTCCTACTACACAAAAAACTTTAGTTGCATACTAAGGAAGGCCCCTCTATTGGAATCCCGGTTTCATTCCGTGCAAGAAACAACCAAATGGGATCCTTCCAAACACCAATGGGAACAAGAAATTTTGCACTACAAGAGACATCATGTGGATATTTGCTACAAGAATTACAGGCAAGTAGTTTGTAAGTTATTTATATCTAGATGGTAGTCCTAGTTGTTTAATTGATAATAGTTTCTGTAATACTGAATCAGATGATATGGGATGAAGTTGGAGAAGAACAGTTCCAAAGGGAAAAGGTTCTACTGGACTTAGAACAAGAGTGTCTGGAGGTTTACAGAAGGAAAGTTGACAGTGCAAACATTTCAAGAGCTCGACTACATCAGGAATTGGCAGAGTCCGAGGCAGAATTTACCGATCTCCTTTTGTCACTTGGTGAACGCTTACTTCCTGGACGGGTAAGTTTCTTTATCATTCTCCTTAGTCTGTTAAGTATTATTAGCCAGTTGACCGGACTTTAGAATAGCAAACTAGTTTGTATAACTAAACCATTTGATTGTCCAGCATTAGAAATCACTCTGCATTCAAGGATTTCTAAATGCTGCAGGAGTCAGATGTTTAGGGGTAGCCTATATTGGGAAAGAGAGTTAGAAGTGTACCTCTGTACTTTCAAGAGAACAGAAAATTTGCCTGAAGAAAAACCGCATCTTACTGTATAGATGTATCATCAACATATATAAAATTGACTTGTACAAATTGCAGAAACTTTCAATTGATGAACAAACTAAGACACAGTACTCAATCACCCAGTTATCCTCCAATTATAGCCTAAAGAGCAAGACAGACTTGAAATTCTTAGTGAAGAAATTCGATGATTACAACAAAACTTCAGAGACTGGTCACAATGTTATAGTCGACAGAGAACACTCTTTTCATTTGACAAAATACACAATTATATCTGTATTTTCCCTAAATGTGTTATGGCTTCCATCCAAAAGTTGTGCCCATGGTGTGATACATTGGAACCAGATTCTACTATTGTTTGTAAAAAAAATTACTCACCTTCGCTGAATCAAGTATTTCTGCTTGTGACAGCCAGAGAAAATGGCAGGAACATTAAAGGAGCAGCTAGATTCAATCACCCCAGCTCTGCGGGAGATGCAATTAAGAAAAGAAGAGAGGGTGAAACAGTTCCGAGCTGTGCAAGGTCAAATTCAGAAAATTTCTGCAGAAGTAGCAGGCCGATCAGAATATGATGATTCATCATCAACCGTAATAGTTAACAAGAATGATCTTTCACTAAAAAAACTTGAGGAGTACCAAATTGAGCTTCAAAGACTTCACAATGAGAAGGTAAAGCAATCAGCAATTTGCTTCGTAAGGGGCTCTATCAACTTCACATTGAATTAATGCATTTCAATTTTTTTTCCCTTGTTCATATCTTGTTGACATCAAAGAATGACAGACTCCAAAAAGTGGAAAAACATATAAGCACAATTCAGAATCTGTCAGCCGCATTGGGAATGAATTCTTCCATGATCATCACAAAGGTTCATCCAAGCTTGAATGAATTGTCTGGACTATCAAAAAACATAAGTGACAGTATTTTGGCTAAACTCGGCAGTACTGTAGAATCACTTGAAGCAGAAAAGCAAATGCGGTTAGAGAAGGTAAAACTTTATGCTGTTAAAATTGCATTTTCCCTACATTTTTGGGCAACAAATAGTTTTTATATAATTTTGGAGTCTGTAATCATAAAATTAGTTTTTTTGTCATTTTGGACACCCACTCTGTTACCTAAAAAACTCAAACTCTCAAGATTACGAGATTATAGATGGGACGGAAATTCTGTGCATTGCACACGGCCGTGGCTAGGAACTAAACTAAATGATACCAGCACTATGCTTCTCCTGTTTCAAACTTTTAGTAGCAAAGTTGCTAACCCAATTCTCAGATAAAGCAGAAGCTAGATAAATCCCTTTGTGATCTTTGCAGCTTCACCATCTCGGTAAAGCATTGACAAACTTGTGGAATCTCATGGATACTCCTTATGAAGACCGTCAACTTTCCCATGTTACTACTTTACTATCAGTTTCAGCACCTGAAATTTCTACTGCTGGAAGCATTACCCTCGATATAATCCAGCAGGTCAGTATATATAACTTATGGTTATCAAGCACATCAATACCACATGTAAGTTTTAATATATGTTTCTCAATTTGTTTCAAGGCTGAGGCTGAAGTCAAGAGACTGGATCAGTTAAAAGTTAGCAAAATGAAAGAGCTTTTCCTTAAGAAACACAAGGAGCTTGAAGAAATATGCAATCAATCACACATGGAGATTCCTTCACAATCAGAGATGGACAATATAATCAACCTAATAAACTCTGGTCTGACTAGTGATTACTATTTGTTTCTCCACATTGTAATCTTGTTTTCCTCTAATATTCTACTGGTTCACAAACTGACTGAAAATATACTTAAGGGGAGATTGACCATGCCGATCTCCTCGTGAGCATGGACGAACAGATATCAAGAGCAGAAGAAGAAGCTTTTAGCAGGAAGGTTATAATGGAGAAGGTGGAAAAGTGGATATTAGCACGTGATGAGGAACGATGGTTGGAAGAATATAGCAGGGCAAGTTTC